TATAATATTTAAAAAATTTTTTTTTTATAAATATATATATATATATATATCTATATATATATATATATATATATATATATATATATATATATTCCCTTTTTCAAGTAATTTGCAGACCAGCTTTAACCTCAGACATATGTATTTAAATATGTGTATTTAAATTACACATAAAAGTAAAATTATTAATGAATAGATCCCAGTGTGATTAGCACTGAATTTAATTTGTGTTCATAGTTCTCACTTAGAGTTTTAAATAACAAAGTATAAAGTTTTACAACTTTATACCTTATAAAGTATAACTTTCATGTAGCAAAATATACATACGTCTCTTTTTGTTTTTTTCTTTTTTAATAAATGAAAACACCAATTTGTCTATGAACATTAATAACATTTAATAATGTTATTATTAAATAATACTCCATGGAGATGGCACTTTTTCCAACTCCATAGAAAAAGTGCTAATGCTGTCATCTGTCACCTCACTAGTGAGAGAGACCGTGTCTGAAACCATTTCAGCTGAGTGAAACTCTAAATAAATTTTGTGACAGCAGCTGAGATAAGTGGAGAGATGGTTTTCATGTAGTTTGAGTGAACTGACCCTTAAATAAATAATCCCAAGAGACACTTTTCCTCAAGAAAGACATGTTTTCTTCAAGTTTCTTTATTTAGGATATATGTTTTGAAGATATGCATTGATGACATTATTCTTTTTAAACTCCTCACTTACTTTGATTGTTATTTTGCTTCAAACTTCAATATTTATCACTTAACAGATTTTTTTATTTTTTATTTTTATTTTTTTGTCAAATTATTCCTCAACAACCATCTAGCGTCATTTCCCTGATTTATTTCTCCACGCTGGGTGCTGGAGGCTGGTTTCTGTTTTAACAAAGGATCCCCAGGTATTTGGATACCATTCAAATTTAGCTCCTGGCTGTGCAATAGCCAGTGCAAACAGTGTGTCAGAACAGGGACCACAGAAGGGACATTTAGGGAACCACAGCAGGGTCAGTTTATCCTAACAAGATCAAATGTACATGCTCCCTTGTCCCTCCTGATACCGCCAATGAAACAAGGTAGTGAACACTATCACCTCCTCCAATGTGCTGTCACTTTAACCTGAATGTTGGCTCATGTTTGTAATTGCTCAGCTGAAATGCAGAGAAATCACTTTGCATTTTCTACCTTGTGAAAGGATGCACTTAAGGACAAGATATGTTTTGCTGGTCAAACTGCTGCGAAAGGGAAAGACGTTCACCAAAGTATACAAGTTATATGAAACCAGGTAATACATCAGGAATAAAACTAGGGACCTATATGGCTGTGGTCATTTAATTTGTTTCACAAAGATGCACTACTTTATCTGACACTACAGCCAACCCAAGGCAATAGCAAACTAAGTCAGTGTAAACCATGAAGGTCTACCATAAATGTTTACTTTTTAACACAAAACAGGGATCTAATATTTTATATTTATTCATGTGATTTAATAAAGATAACTATTTATTGTTAAAAGAAATACAGTTGAGATTTCAAGGAATTGATAAGTTTACTTCATAAAACTGCAGATAATAATAGTAGTGTAACATTTAGACCTACATTATATAACTCCTCCACTAAAATGAATAAATCGGTATTTTATTTTTATTTTATTTATTTTTTGACACTGTAGGCATCCTATCCACTTGGGTGCGCGCATCTAAAACTCTTGAAAGACCGGTCAGCTAATCCGCAACATCCTGGTCTCCATGCATTGTCCTGATGTAAAGGTGATGATAGATGATGGGGGTTTTTTTCCCCCCCCCCCCCCTTCCCTTCCTCTTGGGGGTGCCGCACAGCTGCTACTTCTTTAAGAGACACCGCCCGCCCCCTCGCCTGTATTTTTAGCTGAGCCAGCTTCTTCATTTGCTGGATAAGTCAGGCATATCTCTGAGTGTGGACTGGAAGGACTTCATCGTTTTTTAATGCATGACATCAGTTCGCATCCTGTGGATTCGCAGTGGGCCCATGCAGCCAGATGTTCCCTTGGAGTGTCTATTTTTTCAGATGCTGAAACGCGCAGTCACCCTGTGGATGCTTGATGTGCGTTATGAAACGCAACGCTGCACCGGGTGCCTAAAATGAGGCGAGATCAAACAAATTAAAGGGGAAATCTATTCATCTACAATCCAAATATTGCTGCAGCGCAGAATCCTGCTCCTCGGCCCGCTGATTCCTCTTTTCCTTGGACTAGGGGATCAGGAGAAAACCTTCAAGACGGAGGGGGTAGTGGAGCATCGAGGGAAAAGCAGGGGCAACATGAGAGAGCGGGACTTCATGCCCAACATGGAGAGAGGCAAACCTGCCACTTACACGGGGGACAAAAAGGCTAAAATGGCTGCTAAGACTAACAAGAAGTGGGTGAGACTTGCCACTGTTTTTGCATATGTGTTGTCGGTGTCCTTAGCAGCCATTATCCTGGCTATTTACTACAGTCTGATCTGGAAACCGACCAGCGCATCCTCCTCATCTGGGAAGCCTGTGGTGCCTGAAGGGGTCTCCCCCACCGCGAACATCTCAGCAGTTTCTCCAAACAGCAGCGTCTCAGAGTGGAACTCTACACAGACAGTGGTGGTGACTGATATGGCTGTGAACCAAACCAGGCTGGCCGCGACCCCGCGCAATTATGCGGAAAGGGGGTTCGTCTACTCGCGCGGCGCAGCGGGGACAGAGAGTGCGCACGCGGAAAACCTGAACGCATCTTCCCACGGTGACACGCACACGAGCGTCCCTCTCACCCCGGAGGAGGAGAGCGACGCGGTGACCGAAAACAGCGGCCCCGAGCAGGCGGCCGCGGACGGAGCCACTGTCCCTCCGACTTAAAGCCGGAGCTGAGAGGAGACTGATCGGGCCGCCCATTATAACCCATCACTGCACCCTCTCTTATTTAAAAACGTAAAGTTTTACATTCTCAAAGCCGCAGGTCGGATTAACACAAAGGTCTTCTTGCTGGAGAGCTCACTTTGCAGAGCCCCCGGATGGATGCTGAACTGCACATACTAACTCATAACCTTGATTTCATGCCTGAGAACAGAGGACCGCTATTTTCCTCAAAGATCACTTTCCCCTGTACTATGCTTTCCTTTTTGTTTTAAGACATCTCTATGCCTTAAATCCACTTTTGAAGCCAATTACCTGACCGAAAGTGCGGGCAAAACTGGTAAAAATGTTTCCAAATTATATAGAACGATGGCCAGAATTATGTCTTTGGTTTTGTAGGACATTCTGTTATACTGAGCTGTAATCTATCAATTTAAATCATTATTACAAGGCCAGCATTTGCTTGTGGGGTCCATTTAGGTTACAAAATGGGCCACAAATTGGATTGCCTGAAGATTTCACCATAGACATAGGCTGGTGTTAGATTCTGGTTTATGAATGCTACCGTTTTTGCTGTATTTATATTTACATTGGTCCAGTTGACGGAACCTTGATCAATTCAGTATTGCAGTGATGAAATTCTTTGTTTTTCCTCCCTGGGTGTTTCTTTCTACCAATTTTTAATTCTTAGTCTAAGTTCAGACCATGCCTGGAATAAAAATGTGAAGCAAAATGCAATTTCACTCTTGTCTAAATTATGTCTATGTGCACCCTGAATTTAATTTGTTACTTTAAATTTAATACATATACTATAGGCAAAAATATTGAACTTAAATTCAGTTGTACATTTCAAGAGCCTGAATATATGCTTTTTGATGTTCTTCCATTTATATTGTAAAATAACAAGCTGGTTTTAGCTGGTTAATTAGTCAACCTACAGCTGTCTGAGTAGCCTGCCTGCACTTAGGTGCTTTACAGACATTCAGGTTAGAGGATGTTAGGTGTCATTTTAAAACAGTGACAAGTGGTGCACCTTTAGTTTAGTTTCCACACCATGACCAGTTGTGTCTTTTGTGTCTGGGACTATTCTGAACAGTTAAATTTGTCTTTCTTGTAACCATGAGGGAAGTGTAGCAGCCATCTTTGAGCCAGCTGAATCAGCAGTGCACAGCAGCAAAACCTGGGGTAGGACCACCAGAGGTCAAACTTAAAAAAGAAAAATGCTGTAATCTGTTACATGTAATCAAATTAAGTTTGTCAAACTTACTTTATTTACGTTTGCTTTACATGACATCTTAATAAACTTATATTTACTTGGATAAGCCTAATTTGACTACTTGTAACAATTTTTTTTTTAAGTTGGATCACATTTTATTTTTTCTCTGTATACAGCCAGAGATCACACTGGTCATTCTGGAAACAATTTCAGATGTCATTAAAAATAATTTAAATATATTAATGCTATCTATTTTTGTGCTTTTCAAGCCATAACTATTTAAAGTTCCATACCTACATATCAGTAACCAGCCTATGTCTATGAATTGTAAAATTAGGCAAAAAAAAAAAAATGGGAAGCATATGGGTAGTAGATGTACTGCATAATTTGGTTGGGCCATTCAGTATCCAGCCACCCTGAACAAACTTTATATGGAGCCATTATTCACATCTTGGCTGGGTACTTAATTTTTTTTTACATACAGCCTATAAACTGTGCTTTCTTTGATTAATCAATCTCTGGATTCTATCCCATTAGAAGAGCCTGCATTATTAAGTTATGCTCAGGTACAGTATGTGCATATAACTATGTAAATGTTATGTGTATTTGGTTCTGTACATATAAGACAGGCATACATATTTTGGCCTTGAACTTTTAGTGAAATATAGCAGATTTTTATTGAAAGTTACAGTATATATAATAGGCATAACTATATCCCACCATACAAATAAACATCTGTAGGAAATTATTAATTTCAATGGTTTTCTATTAATTATCTGTTATCATTCTGTACGCCGATGATATATTTGTTTATTTAGAGCATGTTTCTCGAAATGTGGCACAGGTACTACTGGTGGTACTTGTGCCTGTAGTAGTACTCAGAGGAACATATGGTATCAAATATTTACAAGGTAAATGTAATGTAAATGAGCTGTAATGTAGAGCTAATAAGCCCAAATTGCTAAAGAGATGAGATGTTCAAGCACATTGATCTGGATGCCTATTTAGATCACCTACTGGGAATACCGATGAAAACTAGCCTTTTGGTACATTTACATTTAAGTTTATATGTTTATTGATGTACGTTATCCCTTTTGAATACATGTATACAAATAAATATATATTAAAATAAATCATGGAAGAGGAGAGTATTTTGAGAACTCTGTTGTAGAAACAGAGGAAGGCGAACTGGGAAGAGGTGCCTTTGGCTGTCATGCTGCACTTCATTTTCTTCTCAAATTGTAGATTTGATGAGGAAAATAATATCAAATCCAACCTGACTGTGTCTGAAAAGCCGTAGGATTTGTGTTTTTTTTGCACTGCATGATCAGACTAGTTAGGAGAGTACTGGGAAAATCCTAAGACCTTTGAAGTTACTGCTGAGGTTGGGGCATCAAAAAAAAAAAATCTAAGGCATAATCTGGGTGCAAATATAACTGTGTATGTCAAAACCGTATAGTACAGCAATCTTTCTCTGCTTGTTGAGAAAAAAGAGGCATGAATAATAGTATGTCATATAAAAGATATGTCAGAAAACTTTATTTAACATTAAAATGGCAGTCGTTATTGTGCCATTAAAATATGGTGGATGTTTGTCAAAGGATTTGCAGCTTCCACCCTACATTTTATAAGTGTGACTGAAAAGTTTTCCTGGGCTTGCTCCAATTGACTTGGATTGTCTCCAGTTGATTTTTAACCAGGCCAATCAAGCGAACAGAAGGAGAAGTTGTGAATAATGATGTTGATTTTCTCCACTGTTTTTGAATTGTAGTCTGCCTGTAGCTTTAGCAATGGCAGTGGAGGAAGTGAACAATGCCATTCAGTCAGTGTTCGTCATACTTCAAAATATTATATTAACATTGATAGCCGCCTTGTTCGGCTTGGCACTTCTCGCTTAGCATTGGAGCATGTTTTTTTTACAGCACAGGTGATTTCCGGTCTCACTGGTGCATTACAAATGTCACGGGCAAAATGGAGGCAAATGGGTAAAATTTAAAATCTCAACACAGTCCACACCTCCAAGAAGCAATCGTTTCGCAACAGCAGAGAGCCTAGACTGTCTGTGTGAAGCAAATAGCGAAGGACAAGGGGTTGATTTTTACCAGGCTAGGTTGAAATAGGATTCAGCAGTGTTTATTTATTTACTGTAGATGGATTTTTCCTTTTTGGATGCTTTGTGGTGCAGTTAGTAAGATTGTTGCCTTGCAGAGGCAACAATCCTGGGTTTGAGTCCCAGTCTGAAGTCTTTCTGAATAAAATCGTACCCAGACATGTGTTCTCACTGGATAGCTCAGCTTGATCCCACAGTCAAGGTTAAGTTATCACTCCAAATTGAACTTAACCATGAGTGTGTCCATACATTTTTTTTTTTTGTTCTGCATGTGTTGCTCTGTGATGCCCTGGCAACTTGTCCAGGGTTTACCCTGGCTCTCACGTAAAACATCTCTGGAGATATGCTCCAAGCATGTATAGACAATAAATAGCTTTTTATTTGCTGACTTATGCATACAGTATTTTAACAAGAGCTACAACTAACTTTCATACAAGCACTCATGGATTAAAGGACAAAGTTGGAGTGCCTGGAGAGAACCTACTCATGCACTGGGAGAGCATTCAACCACCTTTGCTAGAACATAGACTTCAGGCTGGGATTCAATAACAACACTATCTTCACTATCTTTCTGAAAAGCAACCATGTCAGTGTGTAGCCACATGTTTTAATTCGTGAGAAAAGTTGATGAGACGGAAACCCTGAAAAATAAAGTGTATTTCTGGAGCCATCACAGCAATCTAAATACATGTCAGCCATATTGGATTTGAAAGTCAGTGTTGATGTGAAACATCCAACTTTTCTAGTATAAAGGCCTTCCTAAACTTTTTCTTTTTCAGTCAGGAGCTCTGATTTTTTTTTTTTTTTTTTTTTTACTACAAACATGCAAATGGGTAATAATGTGTTGATTTTCTTGTGTGATCTAACATCAATTTAAGCTGATGTTTGAGGAGTCTCTAAAGAATATGGTGGTAGTGTGACAACAATTAATCTAAACAAATAAAGCCAAAGCAGGTCCAAATAAATTTTATTTAATTTCACTTAACATCTTCCATGTTCTTTCAAACATGGTTAGAGAAATTTAAATGAACAGTGACTCAGTTCAGAGTGTATAACAATGAGTGCTGTTTCTTGTGAAGGCGTAGGTACAACAGAAGTAAGAGCAACGCCAGCACAGGGACCTCAGCTTACAGCCAGCCTTGTGATATTAAGTGTTTAATCAAATTTAAGGAGACTCTTTTGCACTGTTTATGCAGCTGTATGATCAGCAGGGTTCACATGTTTTCATCTCACAGACTGTGCCACAACTCCACTTCATAAAAAAAACACACACACACACACACACACATGTGACGAGCTACAAAGTGGAAACAACACCAACACCTGCTCTTCTCTCTTGGCAGAGTGTGAGGGAGGCGTATCGATTTGAGTTCTCTTGTCGTTGCTCAGTTCGGAGCAGAGAGGCACATTACACAATGCTGCTTGCTGCTATTTTGACTCCGCTCTGTCTTAAAGAGGGAATCGCTCGGATGAGAGGTTCGACTTCTGTGGTGTCAGTGACAGCCATTATTCACAACTGCGATCCAAATTAAATCATTTGATTTCCGCTGAGCAGCCAGCACCTCACTTTGATGTAAACAGTGAGGACAGGCCTTGTTGTGTCAGCGTGACAGATTTGCAGAATCAAAGCCAAGGTTGTGTGCTAAACAGGAGGTTCATTCATCAGAGGAGGCAGCAGGAAATAATTACAAGACCGACTGACTGGTGTCTATTTACGCTTTTGGTCCTAAAACATGCATAGCCAATGGGTCCTATGGCTTCTTTTGATGGAGGAGTTTATCTGTGCTTACGGTTATTGCTGGGAGCTGCATCTGAGTCAGAGCACACGGCGTATGACCTCATGGCTCTCAAACCTATTCGACCAAGCAGATGATTCAATTATCTGATGTCAACTCAGTCATATGTTCCAAAAGAGTCTAATATGAGATTTGTTTGAGTAGCAAAAGGAAGAAAATGGGTCACAACTATTCACGCAATCAACTAGAAGAAGCGTTTATTTATTGTAATGCAGTGTCTTGCAAAAATATTAACTTTTTGTCACAGTAAAACAACAAACTGCAATGCATTTAATTGGGACTTTAAGTGATAGGTCAATGTAAAGTAGTCCATGATTGTGGAGCAGGTTTAAAAGTGAAAATTCAAAATTCACAAAATGACTTAAGCTTTTACAGAATGAATGGAGAGTTTTAAATGTTCACGTCTTCAGATTCTCAATAGGAATCAGGTGTGGACTTTGGCTGGGCCATTCTGACTTTTGAATTTGTTTTGATGCAGACCATTTCATTTCTGTCTGTATAATAAGGGTTGTTGTCCTGCTGGAAGGTTGACTTCAACTCTAATCTGAAGTATTTTTCCGCCTCTAACAGCTTTTCATTAAAAACCTAGAACTCATATGCACAAGATATGATTCCTTGTGCATTCAACATATTAGCTAAAAGCTTCTTGATATTTTTGTACATGATCAGCTGAATAATGATGACGCATCTGAGAGATCTTTTTAGAGACTTTGATTCATTTTAAATTTTTAAGCTTATACTTTTCCACATAATTCTGTCATTGCCAGGAACATGGAATGGGGACAAAATAAGATGAAAACAAAATGTCTTATTCACAGTATAAAATGGTTGAGTTAAAGGACTTTCAATTTAGGTTGGTTTGTGCAAGAGACCAATCTAGAAAGCATGTGTCATAATACAGGAGACGTATTCAGGATACAGGAAAACTACTACTAATTGCAATTAAAAGATAAAAGCAAAGAATTTTGCACTATGAAGTAAAAATCTTAGTCTGTGTGAGTCATACACACTAGAAGGGTGAAATAAAGGAACAATCCAGTGGCATATCTTTAACTAACAAATGTGGACTAACAATCAAAACATAGCTGGGAAATGAAGGTTGGATCACCACTGCAATATTTCAGAATAACGAATTTTTAATAAAGAGTGCACTGAAGAAGAAACTGCTCATTTTTGCTTTGTATTTGTGTTTTGTCTTCCTGGCTTAAGGCATCACACGAGCCTTACCATCATATTACCGGCTGGTATTACAGAAAATCTGAAGGATGAATTTGTTTTAACAATAAAGCAAATAGAGAGTAAAATATGTACAGTTGATCTATTGTCTTATGTGATGTCACTGGAGACATTTGGATTCGGAAGCTTGTATCTCTCACGGAAGATTTTATCTTCACTAATTTATGACAGACAACAAAATACAAAAACACGACATCTTTATATAAAAATGTGTGTTTCTGTTGGTTACAAACTATTTTCTAAATTAAGTTGATTCTACTGAGGGGTCCAAATAGCAACTTTAAAACTTGATGAAATGCAACAGTATTCAGTCCTCAATTTCAATGCCTCAAATGTTTATGTACATTTTAAAATAAAAATAATTCCCAGAGAATAAAATAAATTCTAAATAAAAGGACAGTTCTTTTATCGGATTAATGGTACTGAAGCTAGCTGACCGTGGATCAGGTTGGAGGTGCAGGGACATTTTCTCAGTCTTCCTGTTTCTAGAAGAGGAAGAGAAAAGCAGGAAAAGGAGGCAGAGAAGACACAGTCATCCTGAGCAGAGCATCCGTAGAGGCGTGGTTGTTACATGGGGATGGATGACTCATGCACCAGTGGGGATGGATGACCTGTCAGGTTCTGTCAGGGTCGCAGTGCAAACCCAGGCCAGAACCCGCTTCCACATAACCTCCATTTATCAGCTCTAATAACAGACTTCAGCTCTTACCTCATTGTTCTAAATACCTGGCTGTTAAAATACATCACACACCCAAACAAGAAGCCAAGTCCGCCCTTTGTATTTCACTTCAAAGCGTCTTCTCTTTGCTGTCTCTAAAGACTGACAAACAGAAACACATTGCATCTGCACAGCAAACTAAAAAGCTGGCAGCAGTAGAATTTTTACTTTAACATAAGCATGCTCCATAAAATACTGCTTATTGAGCCGACTTTATTATTTAAAAGGCTTTTTTATATGGAAGGGTCATGATTTTGTGAAAGTGCTGAGAAGAAACAATGCCACAGATAAATCCTCAAAAACTGCTGTGCAGCTTCATTTATCAGCTTTGCAGTTTTTCCTTTATAGTTGTGCTCCTCCCTGTAACTCACAATAGTTTTATCTATTTCTGTAGCCAAAAATGAAGAAAAAAGTGAATGAGCATTAAAGAAGAAATGAGAGCACAGGAAAGAGTGGTGGAGAAGAGTACCAGTGGTTTGTTTGGAAAGCTAAACATAGACTTCAGTGGATTACAATGGCAACCTAAAAAGAAGCAGTAGCACACTCTTCAATTCCAATTTGAATTCATGTTATGAAGATTTATTTGATGTTTTATCTAATGGAGATTTTTTATTATTAATTCATGTTATAATCTCTGCTGTTCTGCCCAGCAATTGTACTCCAATGTGCACAGACATAATTGTTTCTCCCAGCAACTCTGTCACCACAATAACCTATTTGACATTAGCTAGCCATGTAAGGGTTGTGCAAGTCTAGTTATTTGAGATGATCAATCTGTAATTTACAGATTAAAGCTTAAAGTTTTGGTGTAATGAATTTGTCAAAAATGTTACTCGAAGCACATAATCTAATTATCTAAACTAATTATCATGATTTATCATGGCTAAACATGCTGCAGGACCATTTAGAGAGAGCCTTTACTGATGTAATGTGATACATGTATATCAGCAGACAGTTTGTGCTGACAGAGGATAAATAAGAAGCAAAACAGCCATAAAAGAAAGGATTTTTTAACTGATACATTTTATAATCACAAACCTCAAGGATCTGGCTTTCGACTCCCTGCTCAGGATATCTGTTGCTGCCATGGCACGAACTGTGCTGTGTCCCTTTTCCTCAAATTTAGGTGCTCATTCTGTTAAATCCAAGATTATTGGGTAAAAAGTGATTCGGACACAGAGGCTGGTTAGTGGCTCTTCAGATGTTTACTTCTACTGAACTCATCCATGCTTTCTGAGTGCTGTAGCACAAGTACTCACTCTGTCTTTTTTCTGTCTTGCCAAAAAGCGGTCACTCATCCATTTATCCATATATAATACTTACTTACTGTTTTTAAATAAAGCCACAAGAAGTCCTTCTAAAAATACATATTTCCTTTGAAAAGTAAAGAAAATGCTAATTCTGATATTTATATTTCATTTTCTCAACATTTATATGCTAGATGTCTAAAATATTTTGTCATTTGAAAACTGCTTTTGTGTATTAGATTATTAAAATCCTATGTTTCCATGAATATAAATATGTTTTTGTTTTCATTATTATCCATTTTTTCATCAACAGCTGCACAGCACCAGTACAAAGAGCAGACAGGGTTCTTTGTGACTTGCGATGGCAGACCTCTGCACTAACACTGCTTTAACGTAGTTGCAGTGGGACGAAACGAAAAACTCTTTTTTTGTCCTGGAAAACAAGATTATGAAGCTTCCACACTATGAAAAGCTGACATAATCCTACATTGCATTTCAAACCTCTACAACTGCCTACAAGACTAATCTCCATAGCAGCAACACCCCCATGCAGTAGGGTAATGTGTGAAAATCTTATCTTAGTTTAACATCAAACTGCATTAAATGTAGCATACACACAAATCAGTACCATTGTTTTCCTGAAATTAGAAACAATCAGGACTGTGTAAAAGAAAAAGAGGTGTGCACTTCTGAAACGAGAGAGGTTGCTGTTATGAACAGAAGGTCACACACCCAAAAGGCTGCCATGGAGATAGCCCTGGGAGGAGATAATTAAAATACTGGCACCTATGGGAGGCCCCACCTGTTTCAAATGCAGCAAAGTGAATTAATCACATCCAGTATGAAGGGAACACTGTGCAAATTGAGGCCTTGCATTTTCTGTTTTACCTGCCAGTTTTCTCCACAACACTTTATTAATTATCACTATTGCTCACAAAACATGGAATTATATGTGTTATCTGGAATATTTACTATTTAGGATTTTTGATCCACAGATGTGGGTAAAAATAAAGAATAAGGAGCCACTGAATTTGCTAGACATTTTTATGAACTTATTGAACAGAAACATCCCTTTTTCTGGATTTTATGGAGTAACATTGGGAGTCTAGCAAGCTCCTGCTAGGTGGGTAATTAATTGGACTATTTACTATTACAGCCAAAACTGTAAGAGGCAGCTGCCTCTTATAGTTTCCTGTAGTTCCTCGATGGCTTTTTTTTTACTGCTACTTTATTTATGAAGCACTTTAAGAACAACAGCTGCAACAAAAGTACTGCACAGATAAAATTAATGACTTAAAACAACAAGGTCATTAAGACGTTAAAAGCAAGTCTCAGGGTGTGACAGATGAATCACACAAGGTAAATTAAGTAGCTGAACTCTAGAAATGAATCAAAACTGTAGCCATTGTTCCAGATTATTCATTTAAATATCAAAGATAGATGCATAAAATCTATAAAGAAACGTGAGATTGGAGTGAAGGTTCACCTTCCAAAAGGATAACATGTAATTCTCCCAAAGTGTAAAGTGTACAAACTCCATAAAGGCAACTTTATTTAGTGATATTAAGGCTGAAATTTATCTTATTTGAGGCAAAATACCAAAAGATTAGATCAGATGTACACTTATTCTACCGTCGGTGTGAAGTGCAACAAAACAATATTAAACATCAAAAGGTTTTGACATACAGAAACAAACTTTATTGATGTTATGACTTCTTAGGTTTGCCCTACGGTACATGAAGGCTTGTCCCACATGGATTCACACTGCAAAAAGCTGTGGCAACAACTCGTACGCTTAAGAATAATCACATACAACCGTTTTATTTTTGCATGTGAAAACTTAAGAGGGCAGCGTTGCACACACAAGGTGAATAATAACCTCCTACATTAGTCACTTCATGAAGTAATACCTTGAAAGTACCTGACAAGGACATGTAACACCTAACTACTCTAGGATCGTACGCCCTAAACGTCTTTTTACACTGAATCCCACAGGGAGTTTTAAAGGCATCAAAGGTCGCCTGTTTTTCAAACAGATGCTCCTTTGCAAGAAATGTACCATCTTCTCAGTACGAAAATTAAGGCCTCCTCTTGTGTCCTCGTGAATGGATTGAATCCATCTTGCTGTTACAACAGTTTCCAGACTATTAGTTTTTTTTTGTTGTTTTTTTATTTTTTTATGTAACTTCATCCAAAGCTGATAGTCTCCCAGCCTCATAAAGCATGTCCGCTGCGTTCTCCACTCAGGGTTATATAACTGTTTACTATACTGCAGCTCTGATGGAAGCCACAAACATTTCCGAGGACAGTGTTCTTGTAAGGCTTCTTATCATGTGATACCAAAAATAACACAGCTGACAGGCAATAAACACAAACAAAAAACCACACGCTGGTCACAGGGAGACAGGTTTTTTTTTTTTTTTTTTTCTTTGTTTGATTCGCAAGGAACATTCGGATGTCTGCACATAAGGCAAATAAATAAAATAACTGCAGCTGCACGTGATAGTTATGATACAAACCATTAATTTAAAATACACCTTCAGTCTCTGAAGAATCCAAAGAGCAAGGCACAAGAACTGGGTCATTTCTTCACTGAGATCAGCTTTCTGAAAAATGTGAGCTTTCCACAAAAGTTATAATAAAGAATAAATGGCGGAACGATATTAAAGTGGTGTGTCTGCAGAACCGCAGTGCTCTGACTGAAGTAAGTTTGTCACACAAGATCTCATGTCAAGAAAAAGGGGTCAGAAGTCATTTGATCTGATTGTATCATGACTATGACTTTTTTTAAAAGAAGCTGTTTTAGCAAATATATCAAAAACAGATGTGTTTTAATGACCAAAGTCAGTTTAATTTAGGTCAGAAATTAAACTGACTTTAATTCAGCATATGCTGAATTATAAATCTTACTTAATTATTGAGATTGACTTGTAAAATTGTGTAACACCTGGGTTTCTTTTTATGTTTATAGCTAATTGCTTAACCAGGCCCATGTTTTACAAAGTGTTAATGAAATACATGCAACACTGTCAGAGTAGCAAATCCTTCACTCTATAAGGGAAAATATTATTGTAATAATAACATATTTAGTGTAAAGTTGGAGAGAAGGTTGTAATAAACCATTCAAAAACAGTTTCATCCCCCTTTGCTGAAAAAAACTAATTAGCAATTAACTAATTAACTAATTTAAAAAATGCACTTACGGTACGATGCCTCAGTTTTATTACACCAAGACTAAAACATGTATTTAAAGGGACTCTTTGATATTTTTAAAGTGTGGCTCACTTAAAATGTTATCAGCAGTTAATCTTACTGGCAGTAGATAGTTATCTTAGCATCTTCATTTAGTATAAATGGAGGTTAGTTGGACTTAGAGGATGAAAACAAAAAGAAGACATTAATGCTGATACAAATTTCAGAGCTTTGATCGTTTGCTGTGGATGTACAAATGAACGCCTGCAATTTAACATTGCACATGCTTTTTATGCCTCTCTTCTAATTACAATGAAAATGTGTTTCCTGGACTCCTGCAGCAATTGAATAATTTTATTCTATAGCAATTCAAGCCAAGTGGAGTACATGGGTGAGACCTTGAATGGGAAAGCAGCTCCGCCCTGAGAGTCTTATCTACTGTTTGGTTTGCATTTCATTCTCCTCGTTCTTTCTGAGTTTAAACAAGGTGAAGAAGATGATGGTGTTCCCTTACTGGCTATGAAAATGGACATGGCTCCATGTCCGCTGAGGTCTTCAACCCTGGAAGCAGTAGGCTCCCAGAGCTTTAGACGCTGGGCCAGTCCAAAAGATGTCAAGAAGAAAAACAATACACAGAATCAAAATGTTCTGTCCAGTCTAATAAAACTGAATGAGCCTGTAATTACTTTTGGTATTATACATGATACATTTTGCATCATTTAGTTTTTAGCAATGTTTCGTCTTGTTTTTCCTCCACACCCCGACATCACTCGCTTTCCAGCTACACAAAGAGATGGGAGTGGAGGGGGATTCCAAGTCTGTGCATGCTATTTAATTGATTTAGTCACTCCATTACTTTTATATCAGATAGCTTCTCTCAGTTACTTTACATATTCATCCATTTCCTATTCCAGTTTCCAATAAAAGTAACTGCTTGGCTTCTTTATGAAAAAAATAAATCACCCAATGCAAACATTTCAAATGTTCATTGACATATAGTCCTGACATTCCCACTTAAACATAAAACACAAGTGGAAGTAGGCTGTGGGGTTCGCCACTCTCATTAAAATCAGTAAAATTTGGGGTGTGGAAAAAATGCTTTGCTTTAGACACATAAAATACGCTTCAGTTTCTCAACAGTAAACATGGGGCGACAGATAAATCACTGTTATTTAGCAAATCCTGCCCTGGGCAACTTCCAAGAAGCCTTTATTAGGAGTCGCTACTGGCTACCTCTTGAACAAGCTGTTACCTTCGGTCTCCTGGACTGCCTCATCTAGATTTATGCCAAATGAAGATGCTCAGTGCCATGCTAGGTAGCCTAACATTAACTGCTTACAACATTTTTACTAGGACCTCATTTCAAGAATATAGCTGTTCCTATAAAGCTGCCATGTTGGGAGAGTCAGTTTGGTAATCCTGTTTTTTTTTTTGTTTTTGTTTTTTGTTTGTTTGTTTTCTAGCCCTAGGCTAGAAATCTCAAGCTAGCACAAAAGAAACCTTTTTTTGATAACCACCAAGTCCCATTTTCAAGTTTTCTAGGTGAAACATTCTCATCAGAAAACTGTAAAACCAGGTCACTTTGCAGACGCACTGAGAGTTGTAGGTTTTGTTCTGAAAAGAGCCAACAAATAACATCCAATCAGTTACTGAACGTAGAAATTAAGACTCTGTTTTGTGTCTGAAGTTAAATAATATTTTAGTCAAAATAATTCCCAAGGCTAAACCAGGCACTATTATTTCACTGTGGCTTAATTTACTGTCAAAGACTACCTAAGTTAAACTGACTAGCTAGCCTCCAGATATGTACCTTTAACTCGTCATACAAATGTAAACATTCAAAGATATTGCACTCGAGCAGCTTACTAACATACTGAAGAATGTCTCAGTAAACAGTCCTGTACACTCATAAAGTGCTTAGATGTAAAAATATTTGAAATGCTCAATAACACTTCCCAATCTGGTGTCAGAAATTAGATTCAGTAGGAGGGTCTCGCCGCTGCGAAATGGAAGAAAGGTTGGTTTTTAGCTTGGAGGCCACTGAAGCAAAAAAGCTTCCAAAATGCAGCGATTTGGTTTCAGGATTGATGCTCCAAAAATGTCAAACAACCTTCCCGTGCTCTCTCGCCTGCAAAAAGAGAAAACATGCACAAAAATTAATGACTAAATCAATTTTTCCCCCCTAAGTTCACAATTTATGTAACTCAAATGCACCACTTCTCTATGTGAATGATAAGAGTGGGAGGTTTTTTGTGCATGTCCGAGTGGATGATGAGATGAAGAGGTATTATCTGCACTCCACCAGGCCCTCAGGGGTGGTGACTATACTGGGATCAAAGCTGCAGTGCGGATATATTGCACATCGCTCTTCATCCATCTAACTCCTCATCCATTTATACCTCCATCCTCCCATCAGCCCATTTACACATCTATTACATGATCCCCCCATCCCTCTTCCTGTCCCTGGTACTGACCTTGTCATTGCTGGTGGAGTGTGCTGGGTGTGACTCTCCTGAATCTATTCTCAGGACAGACAGAGTGGAGTCTATCAGTTCTTCTGTGATTTAAAAAAAAAAAAATAACAAGCAAATATTCACTCTTTAAATGGTGCTTTGGATTTTATGTGATACAAAAATTCAAAGTAGCACATAATTGTAGCATACATGTCAGAGAGGTGTTTATTTGTATTTAGCAACCCCTAGATACCGCTGTCTGGATCCAGCTGTCATTGCAACCACAGCTGTAAGTCTCCACCAGCTTTGCAAATCTCTTTGCTGTTTGTTTGTTTTGTTTTGGGAAAATACATGACTGGATTGAGAGTTTCTATGAACAGCAAATGTTAAACCTTGTCCCACACTGGACTTTGACTGGGCCATTCTAAGAATTGACTACAAGTAATTTGATTTGAAACCTTTCCATTGTAGCTCCAACGTATGATTAGTGTTGTCCTCTTGGAGATGTGTTGGTAGGTTTGGTATGTTCTTTCTATTTTCAGGCAGCAGCAGTGAGATGCTTAAAACATGGGATACTGTTTAACAAGTAGAAAATTGTTTGAGTTTACTAATTTCACACTGAATACTAACGTGAAATCTGTTTATGACTTAGGTGAATTCTGACGCCGGTTAGTTGCACAAAATTTTATGTAAAGATATCAGAGTAAATAGGGCTAAAAGCAGACTGTAATTTCTGGGGTTTGATTTGTAAAAATAAAAAAATAATTTAAAAAAATTTCTCCAAAGGTTTAAGGTCTAGAACATTTATGCGTTCTACCATCAAAGCGGTTACCTGTGTTCGTACTGCTGCTGTTGCACTTGGACACCTCTACAGGCTGGACAGGGCTCTCATGTGGAGAGGTGCTGGTTTTTTCACCAGAAGTAACGCTGGAAACTTCAGGGCTGCTGGTGTCTTTTGTAACATTTTCAGTTTTAGATGCCCGCTGCTGGGCAACAGGAGGAGAAGGAAGACCCCCTCCTTTATCCTGGGAACTACTATCATCCTGCTCTGCACTTCCACAAGCCAACGGTGGCCTCTGCACCTCACTGTGTTTTGGTGAGGAGGCTTTCAGAGAGCCTTTAGTTTCTGGAGCTGCAGAATGTAAAGAGGTCGTAGTTTGCTTAGCAGGAGCCCTCTGGATGAGTTCCTCTGAGAAACGTACTTTCTTCTCTAGTCCTCGTGGGGGTGAGGTTGCTGCTTTCCTCTGAGTAACTTTATCCTCTTTCAAGCTATCAAAATCTTCAGGTGCACTTAAGGGATCTGGCTTTGCTTTTGAGTCTTGATCTTTCAGATTCCCTTCGTTAGCATCTGTTAGAGCATCGAGTTCTTCAAGGAATTCCTCCAGTGTTGTGTCAGCAGTCTGGAAGATGAAATAAAAAGAACAAAGTGTTTATTGGCTATTTTCTTTGCAATCTGTTCTGTTTGTTTGTTCTCTGTTAAATTTAATTTCTTACCTGTGTATTCTCTTCATCGTCATTATCCTGCCATCTGAAAAACATGAATGTATTTCAGATTTTTATTTTTTTTTTAGTATGTTTACAAATGTAATCCCCGTCATATTCCAGATTTAATTTCTGATGGTCAATTGGACATCTGGCACCTTCTCTGAATTCCCTGTCCACAGATGATACAGTTTATAACAACCAGTATGCTAAAGGTTGCCAACTTAGCAAATTTGTTGCTAAATTTTACTTTTCATACCTTTTAGCTACTTTTTTTTTCCTCCCAAAAAGTAAATAAATCTCGGCACTTTTTATGGAGTTATTAAAGATTTTTGAAGAGTTATGAAACCCTTGTCACACTTCTCCACAATCAGCAAATCCTGCCACTCCCCAACACTCTCACAGGCGGCAGAGTCCTCACACAGCTGTACCTTCACAGGCACAGGTGGAGGAAGATCAGATCTCTCTGCATCCTGCTGCTGATTAACTGAATTTGTGCACAATCACAAATCCTATCACCTATACTATAACATAGACATGTTATAGTATGTCTATGTTGATCATTTTGGATTATTAATGAAGGGTGTACTCTAGAAAAATGTTTAAAATAACAGCTTTAGTCTGAGTTTTAGTAGGTTCCCACATGAACCATAGGCCAAAAGACCAAATCCAGACTCACAAAATCAAAACTAATTTTTAAAAAAAATAATAATTAATGTTAAACAAATTAGTTTTTTTGTGAATGAGAGAAAAATGTAAAGGCTTTTCTTAAGCTGACAAGCACCAGAGAGAATGCTGCATTATTTTATCTTCCGAATAGTCGTAGCAAACTTTACGTCTGTTTAAAAAGATTTTAAGCCGTAATATTGACATAAAGGACAAGTTCAGCAGTTTTAAAACTGAGTCTGCTGTTGCTGGCAGCACACACATTCGTACTCTGAAATTACAAGTGGAGATTGTGTCTGTCTTTAAACCTTGATGAGGGCTTAGCTGTATAAACCTTTGTTGATTAATTGAATCATTTTCCTGGAAGAAAACACCATTTATTCAAAGTGCTTTGTAATTTGATTCTCAACCAAACGCTCCATTTTCCATTAGTGGTGATGATGAGACTGCAGGGAGCAATCTGTACTTCCATTGCCCACTCGGAAAGAGGGAGCAGCGATCAGAAATGTGTTGCAGACTGTGTCAGTAGCACAGCTGGAACCTCTCAGGACACACCTCTGTGTCTTAATCTGTCCCTGCACTACATTTGCTCTATGTGGAATGAAGATTTAAAAAAAATATGTAAGGCATTTTATAATTTAAGATTCAAAGTATGAGGTGTGCAATGCTTCGCTTCATGCCCAGTTCCTCTTGGGTTTGAGTTGAAAAGTAAAACAAGCTCTTCCCCCAGTGCTCGTACACAGCATTTGTTTTAAAAGCTGGAGGAGACAAGCTGACTGCAGCAGATGCAAACAAGGCCTTTCGGGTTATTTAATCAGCTGCCGCAACATCTGAATCAAGTCTCATGACATTCGGCGAAATTTGTACACAAGGGCACAGTTCAGGGAAACAAAATGGCCTTCCCACATCCTATTTACGCATTTCATTAGTCATAGTTATTTCTCTCATGACAATTAACTGATGGCGCAGTTGGAGCAATCCCGATGCAGATTATATGTTTTGTTTGTCACTGACCTCCTGGCCCTCCCAGTTAATCGATCTTTGCCTTTTGCTTTGCTGCTCATCACGAGCACATTTTTAGCTGCCTTGTCTTTGCCTCGCTTGTCGTGACCTAAAATAGGGGAGTACAGAAAAGGTACATTTTTATTCGTCATTTCTTGGCATAGACACAGGACTTTGCAGAGACATTCATATCCCTTAAAACCTTTTAATATGTCCTCACGGTACAACCATAAACCTCATTTCATTAGGATCACAAAGTGTTAACTTACTGTGAAGTGGGAACAAGACATGATGCAATGCTCTCAATCTTAATAATTCACAATAAATCTGAAAAGTTTTGTCGCCCAGAGTTAATACTTTGTCCGGCAACCTTTTGCTGCGACTGTAAGTTTTTTGTTTTTTTTTTTATAAGGGGGGTGGAGGGGGGCTACCAGCTTTGCACTGAATACTGCACCTTTTATTTTCAGAAATGAATTTTTAAGTCTTGCCAAAAGATCTTAATTAAATGCACGTCTAGGCGAATTAAATGCATGAATAAGCTTCGATCTAAACCGTGATGTTGTAGCTCTGGCTGTATGTTCAGGGTCACTGAATCTCTGAGCAAAACTTAAATCCCTTGCTGTCTCCAACAGGTCTTCCTCCAGGTTTGGCCTATTTTTAGCTTCATCCATCTTACCATCAACTCTGGCCAATTTCCCTGTGGTTGCGGAAGAAAACTATCCCCATCGTGCACAATCTTGCCAGCTGTATATTTTTCAGATTTGATGAAAAACATGTATAATTTTCCTTCCGCTTCATGTTGATTTATTGCTAATATTTTAATAAAATACATCAAAAGTTTGTGGTTGTTGTGTGACCTCTGAAAGCAACCAAGGGGTGTGAATACTTTAGGAATGTTCCGAAGCGATGAACGGTTAAATACCTTTCGAGCCCGCCTTCGAACCTCTTCTGGCATTCCGTCCTCCTGGAACCATTAAAAACAAAAATGTGTCTTTTTATTATAGCGTTGTTATGTGAAAGCTTTTCATCCACTTATTTTTTTTACAGAAATAGTCTTAATACCTCTAGCCGAAGCTGCCCAGTCCCTATCAGGAAGAGATTTGTCTGAAAACCTAGAGGGAGAGGCATAATTTAGATGGAGTGAAAATTGTTCCATCTCAGTTCTTTGATATTTTAGTCAGTCGCAGAATTATAGGACTAAATTGTAATATTTTAGATAACCCATTAAAGATTGTATACCAAGAGTCACATCCAAACAGTTTGCAACCACTGAAAAAAACGTAAACCGTCAGATAAAAAGCACATTTCCGCCTGTGTTCTTGCCCGGGGGCCTTGTTTAAGCTTTGCCAAATAAGGCAAACTATTCCGACGCTTATCGTCGGCTAAAAATAGCAGGTCCTCCCTTGTCTCTTTACATTTTGATGCTTCCTTAAACAGCACCAGTAATTTGCTCTCTGCACTACACCTCGACTTGTTTGAAAGCCAACAAAACATTTCAAAAGAAAGGGCTGCATGTCTGCTTCCAGTCATTTAGGCTCTGTCTGCGTGATTTCACCAAGTGATGAGACTTTTTTTGAAGCATGCACTTCAAATAGCTTTAGTAATGGATGATTTAACTGAATAATCTAATAAAGTAAAAAAGAATGCTGCCATTTGTTTTTTTTTTCCTCCCATCTGGTCTTAAAGAGCTTTTAGTCTTTTACCAAGTAGTGATTTAAAAGCAATAAAAAATTAAAAAAATGACAGCATCCTGTGTATTTCTCATGTGTGGGGTCATCTAATATCCATTTCAACAACAATGAAAAAAATCAAGTTACAGGGATATATTTTTCTTTCTTGGAGCAAATTTTAACTAAAAACTGACATTTTTAGCTGCTGACATTAGAGGTTGCATGTTGGGATAAAACAGGAGACAGCGCCCAAAATGGACTTATTTAAGATCGTGTGAGGGCAGCCCTGTTGAAAAAGGTTATTGTCAAATAACGTTTGCCAATATTTGTGGTACACATAATTGAAAGTAGGGGCTACATTGCACAGTTGGTAGCTCTCACTATAACAAGAAGGTTCTGGGTTTGCATGTTCTCCCTGGTAGACTGACTTCCTCCCATGGCCCAAAAAACATGGCTGCTAGGTCAATTGATCTCTCTAAGCTGCTCTTACGTATAAGTGTGTGCATGAATTGATGTTTTTTAATATGACTTTTTCCTGTTGAATACATACATTCCAATTAAGGTTAGATTTTTAAACATAGGAAAAGGGAAACATTTCCGGAAGTGAAAGTGGTCTTAAAGATATGAAGAAAGCAGGATGAGTTTAATCCTGTCGATGTTGCATTTGGAGCTTTAACAAAACTCGGTCATTACGTTTGAAATAAACGTCTGTGGTCAACAGGGGAAGTAAACTTCCATTTGCTACAACAATACTGATATAATGTTCAACATTTTTCATAAAAAAAAATAGTTGTTGCCTCTATCAGCAAAGGACATCGATAAACCAAGATGTTAGAAGACCCACCGTATTTGACATGCTAAAAGGGTTCAGCAAGAAATAAACAGGTCTTACGGGCTCTTACATGTTTTCGGTTTTGTCCATGTCCCACGCACGTCTCCACTGCCCCTTTGCATTTTTGTGGCGCGCCACTCTCTCCCTGTCGATCTGCTCACGTTCCTTCTTCCACCGTAGATACTCCTCCTGCTCCTCCCTTGATGTTGGGATGTTGAGGTCTGTGCTGGGCTGCGGGCTCTCAGGCTCCTACTTGGACACAAAACACGTCAATGTATTTTAACGCACAAAACAAAAAAAACAAAAAAGCATTTTATTGAAGCAGCAACAAGAAAATGTGAAGTTGAAACAGCAAAGAATCTTAATTTTTAGCATATTTATGCATTTTTCTTTCATTTGAAGGCTCCTGTGGTCTTATTCTGAACACAGAGGGACAGTAATCAAGAAATGGGAAGCGAAGACTTAATAAAATCAGGTCTCCTTCCTCCAGGGGCGACTGCATGCTAAATGTAGATCAGATGCAGGCACTTTAATACATCAAAGGAGACACAGGTTGTGCGGTGAAGTTATAAGGCCTTGGAGCAAACCAGGACAATAACTGGCACTCTACAGAGAAATACATGGAAAAGTTAAGGGAAAAATCTGCATTGCAAAGAAATCTGCAACCAAAAAAAAAAAAAAAACTGTGAACAAAAGAGACACGACAAGCGCTGGTAAGCATTGTCGACATTTTCCGTCCCAGTTTGTACCAATTGCAGCAGAGTAAACATGTTGTCTAGGCTCGTCCTCGTGTTTACCATTGTTTCTGCACCTCCCTTATCTGCGGCCCTCAGAGAAGCTCTGTGGCCACATGGGAGGTCATTCTCTCATGTTCAGACAGGTCGACTCCGACTGCCACCAGCCGTTAATTAAATCTAGTTCTCTGTTCTGTAGGACCTCACAAGTACATTTTCAGGAACTGAAAGCCTGGTTTGAAGACCACGTAACAAATAGTTGCCATGTCAACAGGCTGACATCTCTACAGCTCCTCCAGAGTCTCAGAGGGCGATTTGTCATTTGAGTCATTTTGACTGCTTGGATATTTAACTATTGGCAGTGTTTTCAGTGTGGTTATACTTTTTCATTGAAAATGTAATATTTATGGGACCTTTTCCTTCCATTTCACATTTATGAGCTGCTTTGTGTTGTTCTATCACATGAAATCCTAAAAGTTAAAGAACTAAAGTGGTATGAAAATGCAACCAACCATATAGTATTCAGTCTGCCTCCCCAGCCTGTATTATCCATCTCCTGATTTGCCAGTAGGATGCATGACAATGGGTTAGAAAACACAGGAAAAAAAAAAAGACAAAAAAGACAAAAAAAAGACAAAAAAAGACAGCAGCCTCTCAACAACGTGCACACTACCCTCAGATGAGGGTAGTGTGCAAATGTGCATTTGCATTTCTGTGTACTTGCACTCTCTCATGGCTTTTCTCAAATCTGAGAGGGTGCTGTTTTCCAAAAGGAGTGACGATAACTATTCTTGTATAAGTCTGACCTGTCATTAGTTTACCTTCTGCTGCTCTGTATCCTTGTGTTGCTCCTCAGCGTTCATCGGCCTCTGTTTAATCTCCTCCTGGCAGTGAGCAGAGACAGGAAGGTAAAAATGTAAGCGGAACAACACCAGGATGACACAGCAATTTGTTGTCAGGCAGTTTAACATTGTTGCAAAGAACCACGTCTCTGGTGCTGCCCCAGAAAGCTAAATAAAACCCAGGTAGGTCAGTGACTCATCCTGATTAAGAGTCCCACACTGCCCTCCAGTGGTTTCAAAATGCAACAACTGACTGAATCAAGACTGAAAATACCTGCTCTGCAAAAGGGTCTTCACAGAAAAGTGCAGTTTGTAGGGAGATGGCATTAAAACCTGCCTGACCATTTGTAAAAATAATAATAATAATAATAATTGCATCCAACTACAGAAAAATAATTTTTATATTTCTTTTTCTACAAGATTTTTTTTAGCACTAGTGGACATGGACACAGAGAAGGGGAAGACGTGCAGCAAACAGTCTGGGGCATCAACACTGAGTCATGTTGCGCCCCAAGAGTGTGTATATTTCTGAATATCTGACAAAGTAATTAGTTTATAGTTGCACTTTTTTGCATGCAAGAACTGCAAAGACATACTATTAAACTTTTCAACAGATTGGATGACCTGTGTTTTTCTTCTTCTTCTGCTTCCCTGTTACCCCACATTCTGTTTCTCGCCGGCTATTTCCCGGAAACCTGCCAGGGGTCCGTCTCTTTGGCAGCATAATGAGCCTTTTTAGAGTGAGAGGGCAGTTGAATATTAATTAGATCAAATTGGGCCTTTCTCAGTGCTGGGAACGGAGAAACAATCGCGACAGAGGAGCGCAGAGCACTTAAAGCTTCCGTGGAGAAAAACGGAGACTGGAAGCAGACAGACGGTTGGTAAGAGTCCCCTCTGCCCTCCTCACCCCTTTTTGTTTCTCTCCCACTCTTCACATGCCCTCAGTCTCTTTCTTTTCTCAAAGAGGCTATGAGGCATATAATCTCAATCACCCATGAGATACTTCCATACATAATCATTAGAAAATATTTTTTAATGGTTGGGTTGAGCTGTATCAATTGGAAATGTATCATGAGTTTTTCTACTAAAATCTTTTTTTGCATACATTGAGAAAACTAAGGAAACCTGGATGAAGGATCAGTGGCCATAAATACACAATTTCCAGAAATGATCAGGATTATCCTGTTACAGTGCTTTAATGAGGATCATGTAGATATTTCTCCATTGCCGTCTTGTAATACTGAACAAGTCACACTTCCAGCTAAGGGGCGGGTGACCTCATAAAGTTCCTCAAACAATGTGACGCCATTTTGGTTTTACACCTTCCGACCTTATTAGTAGTGTCCTAAGTGTGGTCCACGGGCCATTGGACTGACTCTTTTTGTGGCGCGACTGTATTCAGTTTTTGGAGCGATTATTCCTGAACTCTATACTTTATATTGGGTTTATTTCAGTGTTGATTATTTCTATGTACATTATGAAGGGATTTGTCTTTGCATGTAATGATGTCTCAAACAGATTTTCTTCTGATATCCCTGTCCTATGTTGTCCATTTAGCTGTAGTCAACCCTGAGCAGCTTGCTGTCCCTGCTGAAGAGAAGCATCCTGATAGTACGCTGCTGTCACCAAGCTTTCCTTTCTCTTTATTTTCAGAGCCATGTGAAGTGTTCGATTTCTTCCACTCCTGCAATTTGGCATTTGAACCAAAATTAATTTGCTGCATCCTCTAGAAAGTTTTAGGCAAAACCCAGCAGAACTTTTTATGGTATTATTTAACAGCGGCTTTCTTCTTATCTTCCTTCCAACCAGCTTCGTAGTGTGCCCTACTACTAGTTGTATTTTCCCTAAGTTGTATATCACTGCAGTTTCTCCAAAATTACCATGGATCTCTTGATCACTTTTCTGAAAGTCCAGAAACGGGATTGTAAACAATGTCCATGTGAAAGCAGGGACTGTGGAGCTGCCGGATGACTGGGGTTTTGGCTACTGCTCAAGTGCTGATTCAGCACACATGATAAATAAGGGAGACGGACTTAGTGGGCCTGGAACAAAGGCAACTAAACACTGATTTCATTCCGTGGCTTTTAGACCACATTCACTCAGAATGATTGGAGAGCAGCACTCTGCATCAGCTAACCAGAGAATCATCTACAAATTTAGAAACTCCCATTAGCTTTGCTTTTATATCCACAGACCCCCCCACTTTATGTGTACAGTTGTGAGGCATCATCTGCATGCTCTGCAGCTTATTGACTTGAGCAGCTTGTTTGAGAGCCTTTAAGTGTGAGCGTGTGCTTCACACTGAGACACAGCAGCTGCTCCAAGAGTTTCTGCATACCCAGGGGGACTGAGTTCAGCGAAAGGGTGGCATTTCAAAGCCCAGCCGGTGTGCGCAGGGTAATATCTGGGTTAAGCATGGGATCACAAGCACACTGCAGCATGCAGTGTGCTTGTGATGCAGTGTACATGCTTGTGATCCCATGTAGCTGTGCTTTTATGCAGCTACATAAAAAAAAGAAACTGAATTTACAAACACTTAATAAAAAGATACAGGAACAATCAAACTAAACCTTTCCAGTTCTAGGTCAGTTATGATTTATAAATATTTGCTAAGTGCAAGAACAATGACAGACAGAATCTCATTCTCAAACTCAGAAGCTTACATACCCTACTATCCTTTAGATTAATAAAGACCATCTTAATTAATGGGAGCTACATCTGTGGGTGTAGTTTTAGGCACCTGCTAGTGTGACACCATGGAAAGTGTGAATTACGCCACTCATTATTAGAACAGCAAAAGACCTTTCAAAGCCGTTGGCTGAAGCTGCTAAGAGTGAGACAATATTAACAGAACTTGTACTGACATGGGCTGGAACAACCACTCAGTGTGGAAGAAGCCATTACAGAAAAAAAACAAACATAAAAATCCAGATTACTATTTGGAAATGCATTCTGGAACGAAGATCTCCTTTGCGTTGATTAAACTAAAATTGAAGTGTTTATGATAACCATAGTTACATTTAAAAAGAAAAGGGGCAAAGATGCAAGCCTACATGGAAACACTGAAGCAATATGTTAAGAAAGCAGCTGGAAAGGTAAAGTTTGGGCATAAATGGGTTTTAGGGACAGTAACCTTTAGCATACCACCAAATTAGTAACACATGACTTTCGGACAACAACGTAAATGTTATTAATAAACTTTTGACCCTGAAGAAAGCAAAAAGTAATCTCTCAATACAACTCTTGTTACTGTGGCATTTAGCAAAGAGAAATTATTTAAGTTATCCTAACTGACTTCAAATATGAAAAGTTTAATCTGATTTACTGTCAGGCAGCAGGAACTGAGTGTTTCGTAATGTGTGCAAACATCTGTTTTCAAAAGTCCAAAATATAAAAGGAGTTTTGTGGATCCTGTGAAATCTGCATATAAAACAATATACAGTAATGGAATTTCAAATATTCGAAAGTTACAAAGAAATATTAAACAACAATCAACAAGAGAGCATATCTGGGAGAGAAAAAAAAAACGTTCTCAGAATTCCAAACCAAAATTAGCTTCAAAGACAAGTGTTCAGTGTTTTAAAATATATTTAGACCAGAGTTTATATTAGGCAGTTGGGTTTTTACAGAGCAACAGCTCCATCAGCAGGCCCCCTCTTTCCTAATCCCACAGCAGTAAGTCACAGCCTCTGCCCACCTCCTGTCTGCTCCTCATTGTGCTCAGTCACTAGAGGGGACGGGCGGGCAGACATGTCTGACATCTATGTAAAACACATGGGTGCAGCAGGAGATAATAAACAAAGAGGAGAAGTGCGAAAGAAGGCAGACGGAAGAGTTCAGTGTCAGACCTTTGCTGCTGCTGATGATGATGATGATGATTCCCGCTTAGTCGTCTTAGACGGCTGCTTTCCTCTCCCAGCTGACTCCACTTGCCTCGTCTGTCCTTCATCCAAGGGGCCCGGTTGCTTCTCTGGCCTCTCACTCACCACCCTTTTACCCTGAGGAGACACTTCATAATGTCAGAGTATCACATCTAAGGTGCAGCATAAGAGTCAGACTTGCAAAACAAAGACCCAAATGCAAATTGTGTCCGTAAAAATTGTGTTTCTAGGAGAGCTGCACAGTGTATCACAGAATCTATATTGTCAGTGAAATATGCAACATTGCTTGGATGCAATATTTGGTAGACTTTGGGATTTCCGGTGCCATGGAGTCAGACTCTGCTTGACTCCAGTTTATCAGATGCAGATCTTTCAGTTGAAATATGGAAAAACAACATTCAAATTTTACATTTGTCTTCAGTTACTCAATCACAATTTTTAGTAATTTCTTAACCAAAAGTCTGTAACCTACAGCTCTGAAGTCCCATGTAGTTTTTATTTTTTATTTTAAAAAAATCATATAAAAATAAGTAATATTTTCAACTATAAAGGCGGTAAGAAATGCTACCGTTAGCGTAGCTTTTTCAGTTTTTTAAGCAAAATCTACAATAAACTTTTATATAATTACTACAATGGAGCAAAGGATACAACAGCAAGGGAACATGATAGTTGTTGTTCGACTGACTTTGGTGATAAATTTATTTTCCTTCTTTTTCTACAACGGAAAATAACTCAACTGACCTGGCTTTACACAAAATGTTTTAAAGCCTAAAAACTAAAATATTTGTAGGTAAAATTATTTCAATTGAACCAATAAGTTCTGTTTTAAAGAAAATAAATTAGTCAAAACGCCTCTGAAAATACTGCATAATCAAACAAAGTATGAGTATTTATTTCAAAAAGTGCTTTATTTTGCATGTTTTAAATTGTGAAATATAAATTTTTCACAATTTATATTTGATGACGACCTTCAAGTCTTTTAGGCTGGAAGGTTTCCTTGCTATCTTTTTTCAGAATTGATACTCCTTTTCTATTGTTTTGCTATCAGGTGATCAATGCCTCTCTCATATCATCAAACTGCATAGCTGATACCTTAAATGCATAATCATAAGTTTACAACAAGGTGAACAGTAACTAAAATAGATCTATGAACATAACCAAGGCAGAATTATTCAAAATAAATATTAGTCCAGTTTTATTTTATTGTAGAGGACAGAATCCTTTTAAGAAAGTTCTGGACTGAAGAAAGTATTGAGGTTGCATTTAATATTATTATTAGTATTAATTACAAAATAAAATAAAGTGCTTCTGTCAGTAATCATTTAGTCCAAGCTATTTCTAAATATGGAAGCTTCCATATACATGTACCAAAGCGACTTTACCTTTTTTCCAGCCATTGTGACCGTCAGCTGCTTCCTGGAGCCTCGCCCAGTCCCCTGAGTGGACCCTTCTCCCACCCTGTCAGCCCCACCCTCCTGCTGTCCTGTCCCAATTGGAGACCCACTCCCAAAAGGCTTTGTTACCACCACGCGACTCTCCTGCCCCCCAAACGAAAAAGAAACAGCTCATGAGATTGTTTTGTTTTTTGTTTTTTTTAACAGCATACTCTGAAGAAGAGCTACACAGGATACACACATCTGTGGACTTGCTGATCGTGATGGTGAGGTCATCGGCTTTTCCTTTTCGGCTCTGCAGCGCCATTCCCTCCTCTTCTGCCTTTCTCCTGTCCTCTTCCACCTCCTTAAAGAGAGAAAGATACAGTCATATTTAAGAGACATAAAATCTTTAAACATCGAGAGCATGAAGCATAATAACACATTCTCATTGTCCCATTTTTGATCAATACTTATTTTAGTTATTGGTGTTTAAAATGTTTACATAGTCGTAACCTGCTTTTAATTTATTGCTGAAAAATAAAGTGTTTTAATTCCACTAAAAACAGCAAATACAGTCACTGTTTTACTCATTAAGCAAAAAGCTGTCAGGAGTTGGGACACCTTACTCCTAAGTAAGTTAGTGTTATTTCTTTTGGCTGAAATGACTTCAGTGGGACTCTTGTAGTCATCCAACAACCTCCTACATCACCAGTGAAGTTTTTCATACCTCTCACTCTCAGCTGTGAGATGTTTCGGGAGTTTCTTGAATGTAAAACCTGTTTCAAGCCGCCCCACAGCATTGCGATGAGATCATAATCTGGGCTTTGACTCAAGAACTCTCCGAAGATTTATTTATGTCAAGGATAACCGATTGACATGTACCGTCTCATTTTTTGAGGAGGTTCTTAGAAATCAATAATGTCACGATTCATATTGCACAGACTACATGTTTAGGTTTTATAAAGCAGCCAATTCTTTGCAACATAATGTCTGCATCCTACCATTTTTCAACAAATTCACACACGTGTTGCAAGGAATGCGTTGACACATGTCTGTGATACTTAGAATAACAATGCAGGTCAGGACAGAAGCAGAACTTACAGAATGAAATTATTAAATATTCCTGGTACTGCATTTTTTTTTTTTTTATTATTTGACTGTTTTTGTAGTAAGCTGTCTTGTACCATAGTAACAAATTCAAGGTCAACTTGATTTTGCAATAGGTGCTTTGAAATTGGGGGGGTTTTCAAACTACAGCTCTGAAACAGCGGTTCTTTTGAATTCCTTTTTGAACTAGATACATTACTCCATAAAGTTTCACTTTATGAGCACAAAATAGACGTTTTTTTAATTTTCTATCATGTAAATAAATAAATAAACAATCTTGTGAAATCTATTGAAAGGAAAAGCTGTATAAAAATAATAGTATGTATTATTTTAAAGAAAGACTAGAAATTCAGCTGGATGCTCTGACATAAAGCAGCGAGCAGCTCTTCCTCACCTTGTACCTCTTCATGAGCGCTTCGTTCTTCCTGCGGAGAGCCTCAATCTTCTTGTCCAGCTCCAGATCTCGTTCCTGATCCCTTTTGGGCATCATGTTGCTGGTGGTCTGGTTAGACGCATTGAGACATTAATCAGTTGTAGGTTTCAGATTTTAACTTTAGCTTTGAAAGTCACATAAGAAAGACTATCCTTTTTTTTTTATATATGCCTAAGTAACTCCTCATGTTTACACATGAAAAAAAAAATCAAATTTAGAAACAGAAATAGATGGAGAAGAAAAGAATGATTTAATGTTTAAAAAATTGCATTTTGGAGTTCATTTTTTTTAGGAAATAAATCATAAAAATCACATGCAAAATATGGAAAACTGAAAGGCTCAGGCTGCAAGCAGTCATGTGAAACCTTAATATTGTGTTGTTCATTAAGAGAGCGTAAAGCAAAAATGATTATCATTGAGAGACATCTGTGTCTGAGCAACAGCACACAGCACAAACACAACCTCACAGCCACCACAGATGGAGCATTCATTAGGAAGCTCAGTTACACATATGCAGAGCATCCTAAACATCCCGGTGAAGTCAGCAGGGCACGCCTTGCCACAGCACATGAGGCCCAGGGCTAAAAACTCAAATGTGAACTCATGGAGCAGCAGCTTTATCTCTGCAGCAATGCCACCGATATCAACTGGACAGTTGTTGTTAAGTCGAGGCAGCCCAATTGTTGCACAGCATCAAATATCTGTGACTCAGTGATCTCACATCCTTTGGCCTCCTGTAATTTAATATTCCCTCTACAATCTGGCTTGTCCAGATTGAGGAAAATGGAGCCCAGTCGCAGGTTCCAAGTTTGACGGATCTGTCGAGTTTTGGAAAAACTGATGTGTGTGCCACAGCAGAGAAAGAAAAAACTGCAGGCATTTGGATAAACTTTGGCAATTTTTAATAGTGAGTTTGTTGTACTTTAGTTGCAAGGCAAATCATTTTAGACAAATAGCTTTCTGTCATAAGAACTTAAGCAGTTACAGTTCCTGAAACACAGAACAGTCTTACCTGTAACAAAACATCTCTAATGCTCTTGTGTTCTCCACTGTCAGTTTTAGTTGCCCTGAGGGGTTTTGAGGAGGTGATACGCTACAGTGAGTCAGTCATCCTCCACTGTTGCACCAATGACAACACAAAAGTCAAGGTTGTTTCCATGTGATATAACGAGAACGAAGAGATGACTCACAACGAACAAGTGCACAAAGACCATGGTCTTTGGTGGTGCACCATCATTTGCATCCCGGTTGCTGCTTAACCTACAAAGTAAAGGCTTTTCCCGGAGATGATTTTTGAAGATCGGGGCTCCTACTGAACTATTAACCATAGATCTATGATGGAGTCTGAGCATGGGTAAAGTTTGGACTCACTCTGCCGAAAGAGACGACAGGCCCGGAAAGTGGTTACCTCACTGTCTGCAGTTGTCAGGGTATCCAAACACAACACACCATGAGGACATACCACCAAGAATAGGCGCAACAGAGAACCGACTGTGAAATCTCAGCGAGTCCAATGACGGACACAGGCTTCAGCGAAACCAATGCAAGGAGGAGATTCTGTTTGGGGATGTTAAGCCACTGGGTTGGGCTGAGTGTGAAAACAGTGCAACAGTACAGCTAACGTTCACACACAAAGAATACACAGAGATGGTGTTGTCGGTCGGACGGCACCCATGCTCAGGCAAGAGGGCAGCAGAGGAGGAGAAGGGGCCTGCAGGGAAAAAGCTGCCAAGGCTTTCCTCCTACCCAGCGTTCCTGCTTCCCACAGGAGCGGCAGCAGGAGAGAAAGAATGAGCCAGAGAGAGGACTGAAAAGATGCATGTAGCCAGAGCTAAATCTGCGACAGAGGCAGAGCAGGGAAGACTGGGGGTGGAGGGGAGGGGGGGGGGACCCAACACCAGAGAGAGGAGAGAAGGGAAGCAGAAAGAAGATACTCACAGGTCTTTCCATGTCAGCGGTGGGAGCCGGGCTGGGTCCGGGAGTGGGGCAGCCGAGGCAGCAGAGAGGGCTGCCTCCCGTTCACGATCATGCCTCGCTTACAATGAGCCAAGTTGGGCAGGCAGCCAAGATGTCTAACAAATGCACAGAGCTCCCCCGTTAACGGATTTTACAGCACCCACCCACTTGTCCTCCCTCTCTCTCCGAATCTCCCACCCTCCCACTTCTGTGCTCTGTCGCTCCCACTCTCCCCTCTTTAAAAACACTTGCTCTTTCCCCTCCTCACTTACCTCAAAGCATGCTGCTTACATCCTGCGACTCTGCCCACACAGATGCACTTCAGGCATGAATTTTCTTTTAGCATACAGTCTTCTCCTGGCTGATTATGTGTGTGTGTGTTTTAGAGGTCAGTTCTGTAACATATATTTAAAAAAATGTGCTGTTGGTTCACTGACAGCAAAATAACTTTTGAATCTAACAGAAAAGGAAAAATTATGTCATGGTGACAGTTCTTCAAGACAATACCAATCCAGAGATCGTAGCATTGTTACTGTTTGGTGTCAAACACCTAAAGGAAAATCTTTTAGCTTTATGATTTCGGCATTTATTTGTCCCATTGTTATGCTAAATTTGTTCATCATTGTGTTTTTATTGAATGAAAATAAATAGCTACAATGGTTTGGTATTTTTCCACTAATAAACAGTCTTGTTTCTGATTTGATGTTCATTTGTGGTCTCACTGGGAATCATTCCTCGCGGTATTCACAGCCAGACATGCTATTATCCAAACCGAGACGTTGTAAATTAGATGCATGTGCTGCCCGTTCTCTGTTCGCATGCGGTTTCAGCAGCTGTGTCTCCTTTAAGAGCCTGACTGCATGTTTCAGACACTGAAAATGCTTCCCAAAGACATGGGATCCACAGAAAAATAATACCTTACTAGTGTTCGTGCTTGGAGTTGTAGTTAAACCTTCCATTCTGTAAAAAATAAATAAAAAAATTAAATGTTTATCACAAAAACAAACAGACATGGCTCTAAATCAGCATGTAATTGACATATTAATAGCATTGCTAACATTTTAGCATACCAATATCAGACTTATTCAAAGGTTTATGTAGAATATTTCTTAAAACATAAGCTGTAATCTTCTAGCATGTTAAGGCCTAAAGATCAATGAAGAAAAAATAGGTGTAATTCACTGCTTTTAGTCAAGATTTTGACTATCAAGGTATTTCTCAGACAAAATGAGTGCATGTACACATGTATGAGAGTATAAGCACAAGTGTTTCTAAGAGAGTATATGTGCATGTTGTAACTGGAGAGATTTAATGTTCTTTCCAAAAAAAAAACTTTGTTTTTAAAGTAGAAATATGTGCCTAAAGGACCTCAAACAAACTTAACGCTCATGATGCATTTGTCTTTTTTGTCTCCATAGTGATAGGATGCAGACATTATGAATGATTTCTCATGGATATTAGATAATTTCCCCTCTTTTTAAAGGTTATTTTTGTGCCAAAGAAATGTCTTTCTTTGGCACGAAAGAAAATCTAATTATCTAATGGAAAACATTTTCCATTGCAGCAGTCACAGTTTGCTTTTATGCCATTAATATCTTGTTTCATTTATTAAAATTTTTTGTAGTCATTCCATTACATTGGGGTCCAATAATTTCTCAGACTTTTCACTTTTCTAGCATTTCTTTATATCTTCCTTTTTCCTCCAGCCACTACTAAATCTATGTAAATGCATAAAGAGATGGGTCAGCTTCCCATAACATTTTGTACAAAAACGTTTATTTCTTCCGCCAGAATAAATAAAAACTGATGAGACAGTGGTATAAAAATACCGCCAAGGAAATAATAAGAGTTGCAGAGAAGCGCAGTAGTCAGTGGTTAGCGGTGTTGCCTTGCAGCAAACAGCAAGAAAGTGCAAGGTTCGAAAATATGCATTATAACAGGTATTCTAATTTTCTGTGCATGCATGGATTATCTCTGGATACTCTGGCTTCCAGTGCTTGTCACTTGCATAGAAATTTTACTTTAATCATTTTATATCTCTTCCCAGCCTTTTGTAAAAAAAAAAAAAATGCCGATGGTTGTTCACGTAAATTATCTTTTACAGTATCGACAAAGAGCAACAATAAACGCATAATATGCAGACCTGCTTGTAGAGGAGAGCCACAGGATACAAATGACTTGGTCAAAAGCAGTATGTAAATAAGACAAAATATTTGCTCACCTCAGTGTTTTCACCGCCAAACAGCTTACGTCATTGTTCAACTATAATGCTGTATAATGGCCACAAGATGGCGCCAGATCATTTCCCATCAACTAACCTGAAAAATATAAACAAAAACGTATTGGGAATTATTTGGAACAATATTTGCTGTATTCTGAACTTAACTATGAAAATTTCTTAATAAAAAAAAAACCCTTTGCTAACCAAAGACCAAAGAAAATGTTTCTAAGGAGAGAACAGAAGCTTATTTCTATTTTCTTTTTTATAGCAACGAGTAAGCCGACATGTCTTTCACGTTTTTAAAATGAAATCTAAATATTTTTAATTAATTTTGTTAGGATTTAATGTGTTGGAAGCAGTGCAAAGGCTTCTTAGCCTTTTGCTAGCCAAATTTGAAGGGGAAATGTGCAGAGCTTAATTTGAGACAATCCCTAATCCTGTTCAAGGTAACAAAGGGTTTGTGGGTATGGTGGAGATCCATCCTCCTGCAGAAAGATTAAGTTTACCACCAAGCCAGAGCTTCAGTGACATAGTTTAAATTAAACATACCTCTCAAACTCCATACCTAAATCCAATTGAAAATCTTTGAACTTCACTCAGAAATTGATGTTCAAAGACACTTTCCATCCAGTCTGATTGGATTTGAGATATTTTGTGACAAAAAAGAGGGGAATATTTCAATCTTTAAGTGTATGGGAAAAAAGCAGCATCTGTACTTGCAGAAAAATGTAGATCAACAAGGTATCTTCAGAGAGAAACTTTGCAATGGCACATTACACTTCTCATGTTTTTGTTTTTTTTCCTATCATTTCCCAATTGTACAATTCTAAAACAAATTAAACAAAGCATGGCAAACTATTCAACAGGTTCAAGAGATTGTGAATACTTTTACAGGATCCTAAGCAAAGAAATATAACATTTGCTGCTTTGGTAAGACAAAATTCTAACAGAATAAAGATAATAGATAGTATGGCATTTCCCTTGCAAGTTGAGTTAACAGAAAAATTCCTTACAGATGATTCAGAGTCACCTGATTCTGATGGGAACACAAACATTTCAACCACTGTTGGAAGGGGAGTTACCTGCAACTCTGAAAGTCAAATGAAAGCTGATTTTAGATTAAGTAAAACTGAATTAAACATGATCTCCACTCTTCTATGCTGCCTCTGGCTGCTACTGCTCAATACTAATATCATAAAGGAAAAACAACTTTATAATTTTGAAAGACACTAAATCTATGCATTTATATTTTTCAGTTTTAATCACTGAACATATGCTAAGTATGTTCTTTTAAAGAAATAAGTAGTTTCTTCACAATTCTTGTAAAACAAACACCTAGCAGTTGCTGAGGCTGAGAAAATGACTGAATTAAAAAGTTTTTTAAAAATGCATGTTTTCATATGTTTAAGTCATGCATGGTCTAAATTGTAGGTTTTATTCTAAAACACACACCCCGGTTTCATAAGCATAACATATTTGAAGTTAAAATTGCATAAAGGCCAGTTGAACACAAATACAAGAAATGTTTAAAATTCCATTAAAAAGATTCAAAATTAGGTAGAACCAATAAATTCTCTATATTTTTTTACTTATGCCACCTTTACTGGGGATAAAATTAAGAATGACATCAAAACTTTCAACAAAACGCAAAGGAAGAAAAGTTGTACATTTAAAAGCACACTTGTTTTTAAAAACACACTTTGAATTAGTACCACCAACTCTGAGTGGGATAAAAAATAAGAACAATTTAAGATGGGCCTTCTGTATTTGTATTAAACTTTCAGAAAATATGATTGGAAAGAGTTGACTTGTGTAAAATCAGGGGTAGAAAATCTGTACACAAGTAAAAGTGGCATTACTTGAATATACTTTTCTCAAGTAGAATTTAAACATAGTCATATAAAAAAATATTGCAATATGTAATCACCCAACTGTAGCACCTCTACTGGTTCTCCTAAACCAGTGTTTCTCAAACTTTTTCAGGCCATGGACCACTTAACCTATTAAACAAACAGTGATGGACCACCTGACCTGAAATTGCCTCATGATAGCACAGCTTAATATATGATGCAACCTGAAACAAAAATATTAGCTTCTTTGTTTGTCCTAATGAGAAGAGTGGTGATGTTTGGTAAATGTAATTAGGCACGACAAAACCATGAACAGGTCTACTTGGTCATTTTGAGAAGTAAAAAAAGAAGTTCGTCTTTACTACCAAGTGCTACAATGTAGGGCTATTTGTGATTCAGAACCACAATTAAAGAAAATAGACTTGAGTTGCTTTAGCAGAAACAAAAAATCCTTTTCTGCACAATTTAATATAAAAATAATCCACCAATTTCTGTCAATCGTATTTATTAATTGTATTTCATTGATTTAATTTAATCATTTAATTAAATAAAAAAAACAATAACTGTTGACCTGAAAGCAGAGCATCATTCATTCCCAAGCAAAATCATAAAAAAAACTAAGAACAGCTCTGACTAACGGAGCCAACTCCTACCGATCACCGCATAGACCTGTTCAAAGGAATCCAGTGACCGGATTCCTTTGAACACTCAGCAGCTATGACTTAATTTCGTCTGATCATAGAGTTGTTTATTTCCATCGGTATCTGAAGCTTTTCTTTTGAGTAACCCAGTTTTTTGCCAGTTTTCCGTCATTATTTTTAACACAATCCTTTGGTAAGCTAGCTGTATCGTCGCACTTCGAGCTCACGTCAAGGCAAAACGGTCGTTTACATGCAGTACCTCGCAGGTCCCCCCGCGGACCATCAGTGGTCCGGGGACCACAGTTTGAGAAAGACTGTCCTAAAATTTTTATCTCCTTTTGATACTGTAGATAACAGTTTCTTGATTAACAGGTTTTAGTTCTAGTCAGTTTATTAGGTGCGGCTCTGTTCTGGCAGGATGTTTAGTGTACTTTCTAAATGTCAGACTCCCTGGAGCCTGCATGTGAGGTACCACAAGGTTCTGTCTAGGAGTCTATTCTATACTATTACATGTAAAGCATTGTAGGACTCATTGCCTTTGTTAAGACCAGAGTTTATGATTTAAAGATTAGAAAGCAAAACTGGGCAAAAAAGGTCTCAAAGTGAGGGTTTCAATGGGAAAACCCTTGCAGGTGGAAAACAACACAAAGGCATCTCCCAGTTTTCTCAAAGAAAACCTTGATGATCCCCAAGACTTTAGAGAAATCCTTCTGTGGACAGACAAGATGACAAAGTTTGCAAACTGAGAAGCAGTTCATAGTGGAAAAAAAAAAGAAAAACATTCAGTGAGGATGAATTTTAAAAATCCCTCCAAAGCGATGTAAAAGATTCATCGCCAGTTACTGCAAACACTTGATGGCAATTGCAGCTACAAAAAGTGGCACTACCAGTTATTACATTTCAGAACAAGTGCTTATTCACACAGGGGCAGACTAGTTGAAGAGAATTTAAATAAATGAAAATCATCTTCTGAAAGCAGCATTTTGCTTTTACTTTGGTTATATGTGTCTAATAATAAAACTTATTAACGTGACAGGAAAGCAAAAGGCAGAAGAACTGTTTCAGGAGGCAAACGCATTTTATAAACTAGTGAGAATCAAATTTTAAGTGGAACTCTGAATTGCTTTTTTTAGTTATAAATCATCAGTGTAAAGCAGCAGACACAATCTCCAAGAGGTTCAGAGAGGTTTGGGAAGGTGGGAGATGAAAAATGATGAGAAGCATGATAAACAATACATTTCCCCTGATCTACACTCTTCATTGTCAGGTTTTTGTTTTATCAGCTGAACAATTTATAGTCCCAGGAAGGAGAACAATGACAGCCAATGTTGGCTGGATACAAACAGCCAATAACAAAAGAAGCTTTATTATTATTTGTCTTGCCCACATTGCTCACAGAAGGAGCAGTTGGACAGTGTTCGTCTTTAACTACTTTGACATCATAAAGTTAAAACAGCTCTGCAACCTACTAATACAAGAATCAGAACGTTCTGAACTCCTTTGTTGCTCAAGAAGAAGATATTTTTGTCAGGTCACAAAGGGTGTGTCCAACAGGGAGAAAACAACTCTCCACCCATCAGTCAACTGAACTGTTTGTCTCCAGGCACATTGCTTAGGCCGCCTGACTGACTTCTGTCAAGCTTAGTTTTAAAGGAATACCCGAAGAGAGGGGAGGGTGGATCCTGTGTTATGATCTATAATTATTGTAAACATTNACATGGAAAACAATTATTCCAACGCACGGCATCCAACAAACTATTTTTAGGGACAGTGGGCCACATTTTGTAAACCAAGTGATACAAAACATGGCTACTCACTTGGGAAAGACATTTGGATTAAGGAAATGCATGGAAACTTCTGGCCGGCCCTGACCGGATTGTTTGGACTTGGTGAAACTACATGAGAATCACTCCGCAGTAGATGGTTTAACACCTTTTGAAATAATTCATGGGAGAGCTTACAGATTACCTCTGTTCTCTCCAGATTTACAGAAAGCAGATGAAGAACAGACATTAACAGATTATATGATCAGGACTCTTAAAGAGAAGGAAGTGTCCAGTGCAGATTTACTGCCTTCTGATTCTCTTCCTTCGCAGGAGACCGCTCCCATCGAGCCAGGAGACCGGGTCTACATTAAAGTCAAAAAACGAAAGAACTGGGCGAGTCCACGGTGGGAAGGACCGTTCCAGGTGCTGATGACCACATCTGTAAAGATCGCTGAAAGACCCAGCTGGATACATCTGAGTCACTGCAAGCTGCAGAGAGTGTTGGAGCACAAATTCAGGAGAGGGAAGTGACCTCACTTCAGTGGACTGCTGAACAGGACCGCTTTTGAGGGGAACGAGGTGAACTGCTATGTGTGTGCACAGCTGCCATACGCCACACACAACTCAGGTCTCCGACCAGGGAACATCACTGATGACAAGCAGATGTGTCTCTATGGCCTGAGCACCCACCCACGGCGCAGCTTCCCAGCGCCGAAGGGATGCAAGTGGTGCAAAAAGGATTATTCTGTTCTACTTCAAACTGGAGCTGCCGCAAAAGGACTTTTTGGAGCTATGAACTGTTCACTTGCGACTGACGTACTTCCGTTTCCATGGACTGTGATAAAAATACCAGAGACCATTTCCTTAGCAGGAGCCAAACCAGGGTCTCTCAGGAACTGCGTTTACAACGGAACTAGAGCACTGGGAATGATCCCATGGAACCTGTGTAACACAGTTGACACCTTCTGCGAGACAACGCCAGAATTCAACGACTGGATCGCCTGCAGAGGTCAGGGGTCAACCACAGGCTGCAGCGTCTGGAAGGACAATCCAGACTGTCACGACTTGCTTCAGGAGATTCAACATGGCACGCCAGACGAGAGGACGACAGGAGAGAGCTCGTTGCAGCGCCATAGTACCAGGAGACTACGGTGATGGCTGACTGGTACTTCCTGTGCGGAAATGGAGCTTATATGTTTTTGCCAAGACATTGGGGAGAACTATGTGCTTTGGACCCCCTAATCAGCCCGATTGCATTCATCAGGAAAGCACAACACGGTCCAGCCGCCCGCTCCAAGTGTGCAGTTATGCCAGAGGTCAAACAATGGGGAGGCCTCACTACAGACACTGGAATTCAGGATTTGGGGCGGTGGAGAAAAGCTTATGCAAGGCCTGTTTCCATGGGTCGGAGTAGGAGAGATTCAGGACCACGTTGAAATAAACAGGTATGGATTACTGCGGCTTATCAACAGCACATGATTTCATGACAGCTTGGTAAAAACTCACACAAGTAGTTCATTTTACGTAGGTTGTTGAAAAATACCTATCAGTACAATTTACATGAGCTTGTTGTTACGAGTCATAAGTACTCCATAAATTGGTTAACATTTCAATCAGCCTTTCAGAATGAAGCATAAACATGCTGTGCATTGGCTGTCAGAGCTGCAGTGTTTACCCTGCATATCCTAATTTAAGTCCTGATCACTCGAGATAAAGTTCACTTGACCTAAGTCTTGGCAACTCAAAACCTGAGTCAACATGTCTGCCTGGAAAGACATGATTTTAAAGGCGAAGGGTTTTTCTGTTGAAGATGTTAATGTATGATTACTTGACAAGCTTGTGCATGTCCTCCAGGTATCCGCCCCACACCGCTGCAGTGTAGTAGTAGTCTCCTTCCCCAGCAGGAATAAAGGCTTTGGACTCAGGTCGACGCTCGTAAGGAAAACTGTCCCTCGGTGTCGTCTGTGTGGACAAAGCAGGTCAACATGAGAGGCTTTGAATAATATATATGATGAACTGGAAACGACTGGTAAGAGCAGCATAAAGAGACTGAATATCTCTCATCTTAATTAACGTCTCTTAAAGCAAACATTACGTGAGGCTACCTTGTAGTAGCCCCGGTGAAGGACAGCTGAAAGACGACTGAGGGACTCGGCTCCAAACCGGGCATGGAAGACGCTGTCTATGTCCATCATGAACAGATAATCTGCCTCTTTACGGATCTGGAATCAAAGTGGACGTAATGGAAGTATTAATAAAACATTATAATGCTAGATCACATTGTAACGGACGATGATTGTAAAGCTGGCGTTTATTTCTAGAATGTAAAGAAGCAATTTGAATACTCAACTTGTCTGAAAATACAATGAAATGACTGGTTTGGGAGGCACCTGGATTATTTGGCATGGAGGATTCAGTTAGTTTGGGTGGGGAAATTTTACGCCTTCTTTGGGTTTAGTGTTTTCATCCTGTCCTCTCAGAAAGGAACCAAACCACCTGTTATGAAGTTAGAACAGGGTGTTTGGTTGGGACTCTACCCAGCATGAGCAGCAGGTGAGGCAGTGAAACGTAAAACAAACACACCCCAGAGGGGAAAGTAAATTATGCTAAGAATTAAAAACCTCACATTCAAATTATATGTATAAAGATTTTCACTCCCTTTCATCTGATTGTTTTTCTGTGTTTAGTTTCTTGGATGGTTTTTTGTTTTTCCTGCTGTGTGAAGTTCATCAGAGGCTGGATGAATTTTAAATGCTGCTTAAAACATGTTGGCTTTAAACAGAGCCAACATGAAGCTTTGGCTGTTAGTGACTCTTGGGATGTTTTTCCTTTGGGTGCACAAAGGAAGACTTTCCTCTTTTTGACATCACAAAATGCCAAAAGGCATTTAGTGATAAGACATTAGATTACATGCAAAACATGTAAGCAAATGTTTTGCTTGTATCTATTTTGCATCCTGTAGCCAAGATTGTGGCATAGTCAGGGATAATTATATATATAGTTTAAACTATTTTGATCTATAGAGTCACAGTCAAAAGATTATAATATTATTGAAACATTCCTTTATTTCAGCAACTCCGTCGCCGACTGAAACACATCATAGATTATTTACAGGGATCTTTTAAAGGCATGACCCGACGATTCTGTTTTGACTGATATTCTTTTACTTTTGTCTGAAAAGTTGATAATTACAGAGACAATGTCATTAAGTGGCCGTATTGTTGACCGTAGACGTGTCAGCTCTCTCTTTCACCGCAGAGCAAAAGGAAACAGTGGCTGATTTTCAGACATTTGCGAACTTCGATAAGACTGGTGAATAAGATTGGTTTCACGTGACGGGAGATCTTCCAAAATTAAGTAAATCACGGCTGATTTATCCCTTCTCACCCCTAATTATTTACACAGAAACATGTTTGAAAGCTTTTATTTCTGCTAATTGTGATGTTTTTCCACTCATAACTAATAGAAATGTGACATCTAACATTATAATATCACATCAGACCTATGAACAAAAAACAAACTGAAATGTGGGCTTAATGAAACGTTTCTTTACCTGCTTAAAATCTGACAAACGAGCCTCATCAGGAAGCATATTTTAACTTATTGAATGCGAATATATATGCAGGAAGGACTGATTGCAGGATAGGATTTTGACTGTGTATTGAAAATAACAGAATGGTTATCATTAAGTACTTGATAGATGGAAAACTAAAATTTATGGATATTGGAACACCATGTATATTGTCAACCTTTGCCTAATATTTACTCCACTTTTTACTGTAAATCTGTGCATCTATTTAGCTCCATAAAAAAAAACAAGTTTTCTTTCTTGGATAATTCTTTATGTTTCCCTTTTTACCGTCGTTTCAATGGTGGAAGTCGCCCATTTCATCCTTCCCAGCACAACGTCCTGCCAGCGGTTTGCACTTGGGACGGACACAACCGTAACCTTCCTGCCTTTAGCCAGAGGAACCTGGAAAATCAAACAAAAAACCCAATTAGTTACAAACAACACCACCAAAACATTCAAACTGGGGTCAAACAATGGAACGAACCGAGTATGGAACTAAAACAATGCCCAAACATCAACCAGTTTGAAAAGTAATTCAAAGAACCTTGTCTGTTTGTCAGGTTGTTCTTTGCAAACGTTATTGATACTATTAGTATTATCTGTACATCTTCTTGTCTCATGAGAGTTTGTAATCATCTTGTTTGTGTAATATAATTTATTGTTGGCTCTTTATCATATCAATATTATGGCTCTAAATACAAATTTTTGATAATTATTGAGTCAGTAGGTAATATATTTAATTAAATTTAGATGAGTGGATTAGATAAGTGTTCACTTCTTCCTACTACTTTTCAAACAGAAAAGTGTAATAAACAAATTATTTCGTTCTTGGTTTTGTATGCACATGTTTTTCTCAGTCCTACTGATCACTTGTTCTTTTGTTTTTAAAAAACTGTTTGAAATAAATAAATAAATATGAATATAAATGCAAAAGCAGCATAGATTGAATGATAAAACAAAATAATTAAATATCCGATATCGTTTTGACATGCATGCTTTTTATTTAGAGCAGTGTTGTCGTGGCACATGGGTTTCTCCAGACTGAAAGGCTGAAATGCTGCAACATTGATGCAACAATGTGTTTTGTTTCTTAAATAAAAGAAGCAAAACATAAGAAAAACAAACAAACAAAAAACAAGCACTTGATGATACTTTCCTCCATTTTAACTACTTAGACTTGGTAGCAGGTTTTTAATGTGACTTTTTAACAAACTCTTAATTTCTGCAGCTCAGTTTGACAAGAAAAGATCTGGGCCTGATTTATTAGTCAATCTTTTTTCTTTTGTAATTTTAGCTCGTGCTCAGTGTTTTTCATCATTAGTAACTCCTGAAATGTGGGTGTTCCCCCTGTGACTTTACTTCCTGTTCAAAAGTCAGTAAGTTGCAGGTTCTGGTTAACCTGCAACTTACTTTCAGTTCTCTGACTATTTTTATGCTCTCACCTGTGTCGCTTCTTGTTGGTATCATTATTTATTAATCTGAGTTAACTGTAAATTGTTTATTTTGTAAGCTTCTGGATCTGTCTACACACTGCCTGCTTCTATTGTTGATTGATTTGCTTTCTACACTTACCAAGCATGCATCAATTGAAGAATTAACTTCATGATTTCATTATGATTGCTGATTCCCTCTGCCCCATAAAACAGTCTCTCAGAAAATGTCAGCATTTCATGAGCCCAGTTCTTGAAAACCCACAGAAAACCTCAAGAGTAAACCATAAAACCTCATTGCTAAAGAATCTAGCTGTTCAAAAAGTGCTTTCACCAGCTTGAAGTGGCGAGTGAACCACAAGACCAGCTGCAGCTTTGAGAGTTTCTAAATTCAAAGCCCGTTTCACAGTTTAGAGTTTCACAGGGTGTGAGCTGAGCTCGAGTCAGAACATAGAGCTGAACGGATGTGTCCGCAACATGAGCTACAACTGTACCCTCTGACATTCTGTTTAACTGAAATACACCTGCAGCGCAGTTTTGCCTGAGAAAACAGTCTGCCAAGTAGCTAGTGCACTAGTTTTAATAAAAACAAAACTATTGCTAGTACTGATACTAAAAATAAAACTGACTAGGAGACAGTCGCAGCACAGATCAACTCAGGGGTTGGCCTCAACTCTTAGCCTTGTGCTGCTAAAATGTTAGCACAGTCACAACTACGTCACTCTGCATGCAGGGCTGAGGTGAGCCTTTTTGAGAGCTGGCTTTTGCTGCAATGAAAAAAATGTTTTTCAAATTGAAGATTTTTGTCCATTTTTGTAAATTGTATTAAAAAAACACTGAATATCATCTATAAAGTTCAGATTTTTGCTAATTTTAGATCGTCTCTTTTCTTAATTATGTCAATTCAGTGCAAAAATAAAATGGGAACCCCTCAGATTAAGCTGCTCTGAGAAAAACTACATCATCTACAACCATAGAGTCCATTGATATATTTCAGTTTCTGCACAATTCTCTACATTTACATTTTAATAAGGCTGGATTTATTTTACTGGTGTATTTGCCTTGAATATTTAGCTTAATTTTCTAGCTATTTTTTTTCCCCACACAGCATCTCACAAAGACTTTAAATCTCTCTTCTCTGCCCATTTGTGTCATGATTTGTGGCTGATTGTGGTGAGAAAGAACACAGAGACCCAGGTTGAAGAAGATGAACGTTTAATGTAGAAACAGTCCAAATGCAAGCAGCTCGGGGCAAACAGACAGGCACCGTGACACTAGGGAGACTAACAACACTTGACGAGGACCCGACAAAAGACAAAGACAACAGGTGGACTTAAATACACAGGGAAGGTAATCGGAGAATGAGACGCACCTGGGAAGCAAACAGGGAAGACAGGACGGGGACAGGATTAAACACAGGAAACCTCAAAATTAACTACACAGAAAACACAGAACACAACAATTTGTGTCATTCCCTCTTTCTTTGTATTTTGTGATCCTTGAGTTCCTGGCACAAATGCCAGGAGAAATCTGATCACTTCTTTAAATCTTTGTCCTCCGTTTCACCTGTCTTCCTTGAAAGGCCATTGTTATTTCTAGCTTTCTTTGAATTATCTAAAAAGACAAACCAGTCTGCTGAAGTTTTTCTTTCACTTTGATTGTATGGGTCCATAAAAAAAAAATCATGGAAGCATTTCAGGCCTTTTTTAAAAATTGTACTGATTTATCTAGGTGCTTTTTCTGCTTAGTATGGCTACCAAACTTAAATAGCTTGAACTGAGATATGCACGTCTAACTTTCTTTATGAATAAAATTAAGGAGGTTTCCATTTCTGTAAACCATGACACCAGATATGTTTTTGTTTCAATTCTCAGAAAGGAGCAATTATAACAAGAAGCTACAGGCGTGTCATAACCTGTCCTGCTTATTTTTGTGAATCGGTTGTATCAAGTACCTTCAAGGAAATTATCTTGCATTTTAATAAATGAGTCTCAACACATTCATTTTCTGCATTCAGACTTTAAGTTGAGCATCTTACTTTTGTTGCAACACAACATTTTTTTGCTGAAAAACAAAAAAAATTTCCTCTTTTATTTAATACATCTGAGATGCTATAGCAAGTCACAGTCACAGTACAGTCAATGACTCATAATTAAGATGAATTTCCTCATATTTTGTGGTCAAGAATTTTCTGTGCCAAGATAAATGGCAAGTGCACTTACATGACTTCAAGCAATTTTCCTGGTTTTAGATGGTAACAATAGTCCTCAAATCCTTAAGACAGAGTCTAGTTTTATGATTTTTGTGGGGGGGTTTTTTGTGTTGTTTTTAAAGAAACAGTTGTAAAAATTGAACATGCAAAGTGGTAAAATACAGATTGGAACACACTAACTTACCTGAAAAAAGATGGAGAAATGCCAGACTTATGCATTTGTTTTTTAAAGGTTTGATTGGCTCTAGTGGCCTTTATTTGATAGTTAATTGACAGGAAAGTTGGTAATGAGAGATGGAGAAAGACATGCAGCAAAGGTCACCAGGCGGGGAATCGAACCTGCGACGGCCACGTCAAGGACTAAGACTTCCATACATGGGTTTGCTGAACTCCTGTGCCACCACAGCACACCCAACTTATGCATTTTTATAAAGGTAAGTGTAACCCGCAGTTAGTCAATTAAGACTTTTATTTTTGCGGGCCCACTTCCTGTTTTCCCCAAACTCCTCAACTTATTTAAGCCCCGCCTCCAGCCAGGTTAAACAACATCACCTGTTCCGCTGTGATTGTGGCTGGCTGTTGGCGCTCTGCTGAACATTTTCACCCTGGAAATTAACCCAATTCTCTGCATCTACTCATTTGATCTCTTGGTGAGTTTTGTTGTAGCATGGCACTATCGGTTTGGCATGCTTGTTTGCTTGATTGCTCATTGGAGCATTGTTTTTTTTAGAACTGTTGCCGTTTGTACCTGGGCCGTCACCAAGCTTGCAGTTTGGTACGCCCCACTCTCTGCAAAGGTAACTCGATTGCTGATATTGTGCGTGTTTTGGCACTTTTTGCAATTAAAATAAGATGTAGCTACATTTACATTNTAATTNGATATTGCGCAGNATATTTATTTAATTTCTTTTCCTCACACTGCTTGAGTATTTGAGTTAATTTATTTTCTTTGATATTTTGAAAGTTAACTTTGATTTCAACTTTTCAAGCTTAACCTTAATTGATTAGTTTGAAACGATTATTCTTTTTTTTTGTTTAAATTATGGTTAATGTAACCTGATTGACTTTAAATGTTTAATTATTAGATATTTAATAATTGTAATGATATTTGTTGCATTTATTTGTTAAGATACTTAATGGGTTTTCTGGCCTTTTAGGTCGGGTTTTTTTTTATATGATGGATTAGATACTCTTCTGAAACAAAGGATGGCGAGCTAAAGGAAAAGAACTCTATGATCTTTGCATTTATTTTGAATTGTCTCTCACTGTGTATTTGTAATTGTTTTGTTTGTTTGTTTTTTTTCCTTCCCTTATGTTTTTCCCTGTTCCCAAAGAAAAATTCAATACATTGGCACGAAACACTAACTAAAACAGTTTCCTTGTGTTTTTCATTCCCACATCAGGCTCCTCAAAGAACCGGTTTCTGGTATCGCAGTTAGCTGCCTAGCCCATAACTGTTACACAAGGCAAAAATAAAAGGAAACAAATATTTCTTTTCAGAAAAAAAAAAATATTGAAAGCAAAAGCAATTGAAGCTGCAAGCAGCCTCGAACGGCCCTCGCAGCTCAGCACCGCTCAGGCCTATTGGCCGCCGCGGGGGATCCGGCACCGCCGCCCGGTCGCCACCGCGGACGCTCAAACAAAGCAAGAATTTTTCTGTTAGAAAGGAAGTTTCTAATTACAGAAACGAACATTTCTTTCCTGGAATTTTCTTTTTCAGCCTGATTGGCAGGTTTTGTCACGCAGGACTGGGTTTGCAGCTCTTCCTGCTGCCAGTGACCCGGTGGGGATTACTGACAGGCCCAGTAAACTATCCTTTTTCTTGGAAAAGCTTCTGCTCTCAGCATTTAGTGAGAAGTGACTTTGCTTTCGTTCCGGGTAATTCAGAGACAAATATCAGGTTATCATCAGCGAACTATACAGGTCGTTGCAAAAGTTTTTATGACTTTTGAACTTTCCAATCCAAAACATGAACCAACACAATTTAGCATGTAATTATAATATTTCAGACAACTTTCTTTTTCATAGCTGCTGTCTCTTCCTTTTCTGAAACTGTATCCATCCCCATAGCCTCTCTCTTTCTTTTTTATTTTACTGTTTGTAAAAAATATCATTTTTACAAACAGTAATCTGATGAGAGTCAAGTCTGCACAAAGAGTCTAGAGATGAAAACATATTTACCACTTCTCAATTTTAAAATGTTTACTTTGTTGCACTTTTATGTTTCAGATAATCAAAGGATCTCTAAAACTAGACAAAGAGAGCATGAATAATTACAAAAAGCTGTTTTGGTTCTTTTAAAAAAATCCAACCAGCATTGGCTCAGAGAAGAATTTAACTTTTAAAATTGGGCCAAAATTATTTGATTATATTATCTGTAGTCAGTAAAAGTTGTTGGACTAATTGATCTTTTTTAAAAACAGAAGTTTGCCTGATCAAATCTGTATTTGATTTGTCTGAGTAAGAGGTATTAAAATGCTTCTCACAATTGTTGCAGGGCTAAGAACAAAAATACAAGCAGCTCACCTTGGGGACTTCGTTTTCTCTGTCTGTGTGAACGTAGTAAGTGAGATTGAAGCCGACAAGGAAATACTTCTCTC